ATGACTCTTTTGTGCACATGTTAACATAGTTAGATAAAATGATAGAACTTGTTTCTCTACAGGAAGTTGAGGATCTAAAGACAGAACTTGACACATGTGAACAGAGACTGGAATCAAAGTACAAAGCCATTGACATTCTTAGAAAACAGGTAAAATAAACCTTTATTTGTATTTGGTGTCAAATATAGATTTTTTCTTCAAATTTTAGGGTGAAAGGGTCAGACAGGTATTTATGTAAATGTGCAGCATGTTTAATAACAAAATTCAAAAAACTAATTTTTTCAAACTATAAATAGCATATATATAATTTTATATACATGTACTTTGATTATAACATTCTTGTATGTTACAAAGCAAAGACACTGAAATTTGTGAAAATTCTACAGAAATGAATGTAAGTATATAAAATCAGTATAATAGTACAGCAACTTTTTTTACTGAACTTTATAAAACGTTTTTTACTAGTCATCATATAGCTTTGCAAGCTTCAATATGTTAACCTTAACCATCCTAAATATCATAAATGGACTTGTCCATCTTTCATACTTGATATAACCATTCATCATTTTTAGGGACAATTTTGGTATGTTTACAAATGTATTGACTGGATAGTGAAAAGCCTGTACATCTGCTCCTGTCTGATCATGGTCTGCACTGATCACATGGTCTACACTGTAGGGTTATTTTTTGTCTTATTTTATAGCCGATATTCGGTCATATTCCCAATTGAATATAGTATAAAGTTCCTAATTCACAGGAAAATATTCCCAATTGAAAGTTACAAAATAAAAATATTGAATAACAAATTCTAAAATCTTTGAAAATAAGGGCTTCTTTACTGTTATGGTGCTTAAATGTTTGAAGATGCCATCCTAGACAGTGATTCTTTGCATTCATTTAATCACTGCAAAATTTAAGTTATGCATTTTTTCCCAATTTTTTAACAAAACATTGCTTAAATTCCCAATTCTATGCATGTGGGTCACCACCAGCAGATTAAGAATGTAATACATGTATATTGTAGGCTGAGGAAGCCCAGAAACAGCTTAGATTCACTGAAAGGACCTCAAAGGAAACTTCGCTAAAGTTGTCTCAGGTAATGTGAGTTTTGAATGAAATGCTATTCTAATGAATGTCAAAACATTAACTGTATTATTGTCTGAAATTTCAACATGTTTGTAAAGATGTAACACATAATGTGATGCTGTAAAAACTGTATGTAAAAAGAAGTCTGCTCTATCTAGTAAGGATAGAATCTGTTTTGAGATGTGGTTTTCCCCAAATACATCACACAATGTGATTAATATTTGACATAAACTTGAATACAGATTGTATATAGATGATATCATTATCACAAATGTCCAATTAAAATTGACATTATTACATACAAATATAAACCTTGAATAAAGCATGCTCATTTCTTACGTCTGTTTTGTATAAAGTTACTGTAGACTTTACAGTGTTTTTAAATTTAAATGTTATGTGATATCTCTGAAAACGCTTAAGATGAGTATTAATATTCATTTTGCTTTCCATTAAAAGCATGATACTCATATACATGGAATTTTAGAGATTTTATACTGGTTTTAGATAAAGAGTTGTTACTGTCCTGAAATTTGTGATTTTATATGTGTTCTCTCCCTTTGACTGTAAAATTTGCCTTGTTAAATGTGTTCTCTCCCTTTGACTGCAAAATGTGTGATGTTATACCAAATATAATATATGTGTTCTCTCCCTTTGACTGTTAAACTCATGACATTTAAGATAATTATAGGGGTTATAAATTGGACATCTATATATGAGTGTTTATTGTTGGCTGTCAAACACTTGCCTGTTACTTATGTGGGCTTGAATCCCTGAGAGACTTAGATTTCAGCTAGTATATGTCCAGTGCCGGATTTAGTATGCACATGTGCACATTGGGTTCCATAAAAACTGAAAAGTCAACATGTGATCAGTGTGACTTATTATGTCCAAGTGAAGAAAAGTGTAATGTATTATGTTACACCAGCCCAGGCCCCTGGTTTATTTTAGCCCCTTTATTTCCATCTTATCACTTTTACATGTAGATACTACATTTCCATTTATAATACACTAAAAATTTAGTTCCAGTCAAGATTTCTATATTTTTCATTTTTTTTATAAATATTTGCAAGAGGTGTAATCCTGTGTTTCATAAATAATGCTGAAGTTGAATATTTTCTTCCTTTTAATATGATATACATATGATAAAGGGAATTTACTTGTACAGTCTAATTTATTGAAAATGGCTGGGTTCCCTCCCTTTAACTATTAAAACTTAAGTGCCAAAAAAATAAGTCTTGTCATTAGTCTATGTATATTTCACCAAGTTTCTGTGTGCCTTGCTACCTTTGAATGTTTGTTTCATGCACTTCCTGTATGCTAAGAAGCTGCAGACATTATTACAAAATTTGATTATAATTTATCAAATATGGATAACAGAAAAAAAGAAGATTTTGAAGATTTGTTTGTGTGCAAAATACAAATAACTGTATCTCAAAACATGTATTATTATGCGTTGAAGAACAATCCTTTTAATTGTTTCTAAATAATTATGAATTTATTGAAATTTTAGCAGTTTTCTTGAATACCTGTCTTTCTGACTCAGATCTACCTGATATTTCTGTATGTTTATACTAATGGCATTGAATGCATCTGTTTTTATTGCATGTTGCATGATGTCACAGGAGATTTGTGAGTTACAATTTCAAGTTGAGCGACAAGAAAACTCAATACTAGATAGCCAAGAAGTCTGGGCACACAGATTTGATAGGTAAGGTAGAGCGGTTATTAACATTGTTCTTATAAATGTAGGAAAATTTCACATTGTATTGATATGTACTCAAAGTAGTAGGCGCTAAAACCACAGAAGTCATATGAAAGGTTTCTGAACAATCTTTATGGATAATGTATGATGTGTTGAGAAATGAGTGTTATTGGAAGATTGGAAGATTTCACTCCGTATCATGGCAGTAAGCCACATTGAATTTACCAGAGCACAGTTCAGCCACTGCATCGTTCCTTGGCAGACTGTCAAGCAGTTTACCAGTTTACTAGTTGCCTTCACTTTTGCAAGGAACTGATAACTTCAGTGCATACAAGAGCTACAGTGCGAATGTCTGTAGAAAGGATTTCATGATGAATCACAACAAAGTGACCTGCATTGGGATTTGAGATGGTGTGTTGTACCTTATACAGTTGTATTTGACATTTTAGAAATTCTCCTTGTTAAAACATACTACTTTTACACCTGCCTCATGGCTATCTAAAAGTTATAAAGAGTATTAGATCTATTAACACTAACAAATAACACTAAGACAAACTTTATAGTGTAGATGATAATATTAGTATTTACTAGATAAATTCAATTGTAGCATTTATCTGTATATACATGTATAGTAACCAAGCTTAAAACTAACATTCTATAATTTGTTGTGACATTAAGATTGTAACCAAATATTGAAATCTAGTACAAGAATCTCACTGGATTATTTATTGATCTGGAAGTGTCCAATAAGGAAGTGCCATTTTTAAGATGTTCACATAATACATGGATTGGTCATGTCTTTATGTGTGCCTGACAGTGCCTGTTATGTTATGATATTCCAAAAGTAATTCCAAAAGTGTCTAATCCCCAGAATAATGTCCTTTAACTTAACATTTATCACATCAGTTCTTTCATATTACTTGTCTTTTTTTCGAAGGTGAAATTTTTTTCTTTTTTACCTTTGACATGCCTGATTGCTTTGATGCACATGCAATTGTTTTCATGTATACATTGGGTAAAAATTATATCGGATCTTTGCATAAATGCCTGTTCAGAAAATCAAAGTTTTTTTTATTTAGCTTTCTTAAAATTAGTTAATCTCCCTTATATTAACTTTGCTTAATGCTTAGAAATTATTTTGTTGCTGCTTTAGAAATTATTTTGTTGCTGCTTTATAACCACAAGTTTAGCTTTAAAGCATTTTCCTTATTTTACCATATTTTTTCAGTGATTGATATGTCTCCGACATTTTATTAGCTCCTTGTTAAAAAGAAAAAGCAGAGCTGTTTTCGTGACCCACATATTTGCATTTTGGTTAATTTTTTGTTTATGGTCATTAATGTCAATGCTAATATAACTATGACTTTGAAACTTTATATATGGATGCACCTTGATGAGTTCCACCAGCCGCACCCATTGTCAGGTCTAAAGGTCAAGGTCACTGGGATTTGTTATAACAAAACATCAAACTGGCCATGAAGGCAAAGTGCCTGGACCAAGGAACATTAAACTTTGTATGAAGACATATCTTGAGGACGTCTACCTCCCATATATATTTTGAGGTCAAAATGTCAGAGGTCAAGGTCACTGTGTCCTGTGATAAAAAACCATAAAATTGGTCATTATAGCAATGTGAATTAACCTAATAACTTCAAACTTTGTATGTAAATGATCCTTGGTGATTTGTAACTGCCATATCCATTTTAAGGTCAGATGGTCAAAGGTCAGGGTCACTTGAATTAGTATGCAAAATATAAAACTGGCTATTTTAATCAGGATGTATTGACCAAGGAACTTCAAACATTGTATTTCATATCACGGTCATCTTGTCCTGTAATAAAAAGACATTGAACTGGCTAATTCAAAGTGAATAAATAACCAAGGAACTACAAATTTAGTCAAATCTGCCATTGTTATTTTGGATCAAAATATTAAAGGTCAAGGTTGCTTGATATATGGATTCATCTTGAAGAGTTCTATGCCCATTTCTTGGTCAAAAGTCAATGTTACCTGTAATTCAAGTTATTTCTTTATTAAGAAAATGAGTAGTTTTCTATCCAATACTGAGAAAAGTTGAGCTGCTCCTTTGACAGTTATAGTCCATTGATGGTGTTACTTCTTTTTTATTTATTTTGTAAACAATGATTTAGCTAGTGCAATATATAAATGTAAATTTGTGAAGAAAAATGGTAATTTCAGCACATTTTCCCCCAAAATTTCCTTACTTTCAGTTATTTATTTCTTTTTTTGTTTTGTATCTATTTAAGTGAAGAATAGATATTTCTGTCTTAACTTTCAGGTACATTTTGTATAACAAATTTTCTCAAATTGATATATAGATATATAAGATTGACTTTGGTAACCTAGTAAATGTCTCAAATCAATTAAATATTCTTGTAATCAGTCCTGTAACCAAGCAATAATGAATATTTTGGAATAATCAGTACAATGAACTGCATTCTGTAAACATTTCCGTAACAAATCAGCAATTAACTGTTTGCTATAAACATTACTGTAACCAAACAATATAGGGTTAACGCACGTTTTTCCGTGTTATAACGTCTGCAGAGTCCCGAGGAACGGTTGGTGCCCGAGCCCGGTAGGGCGAGGGCTCCAACAGTTCCGAGGGACTCTGCAGACTTTATAACACGAAATAAACGTGCGTTGACGCTATTATAGCATAAAATTTTCAAACAGATTCGTGATCTATAGTTTATACAAAACACAATTACATTTTAATTCTTGTGCTTGGACGGTATTTATCCAATTCTATGTTTTACGTATGCGTTTCATTTTTCCGGGGCCAACAACTTGGAAAATTCTCGGAACCGAACGAAATTTTGAATTTAAATTGATTTAGCAAAGCTTGGCCTTTGGAGATTTATTATCTCAAGAAAAAAAACCGTTACGTTACTCTACCTTCTACCCAAGACAAAACATGACCCTCAGAAATTCTTAGAATGATTTCAGATTGACGGTAGAAAAAAGATCAGTGACATCAGAATCGGTTTTTTTTCAAGCAAAAAATCAGGCACTAAGCATTATTCTCTCAAAGAAATATAAAGAGCATTTATCAACATTGACATAAATAAAAACATTCTCATATTAATTTTGTGTTATCTAGTTTTGAAAGTTAATCGGAGTGTTAAACTGAATGACAGGTAGATTCTACTGTATTTGTTTACATTGACAACTGTCCGTTTCTTAGAAAGGGCGACAACAAAGATAAGCACCGATGTCTATACGCCGTTTTTTCCGGCATAGTTACTTGAATATGCGACTGAGGCCCTCGTATCAATTTTCAATATAACAAGAGCGCATGACTCTTTGGCAAACAGGCCAAATCGTCATTTTTTGTTTGTTTGTTTACTGGGCCCTGTATGTATTGCGCATAGGTGAAACCGGGCTATAACAAGAGCGCGTGACTATGTTAACACATGGTTTTGGTCCCGTTATAACATGGGCAAAAGAGGGAAAAATAGCCGATTTTATGCTATAATAGCTATAAACATTACTGTTACCAAACAACAACATTAAAGAGTTATCCAACTGTAACAACTTTTATAAGTGCAGGAACATCTAAAGGTTGAAAATGAGACATTCTTTGAATTCCCTTTGGACAACCATTTTACCTGCACTTCCATAAACATAAAATCAATAAACATCATTTTAGAAATAGAAAATAAAAACTTATTACAATATTGTCATGGTTATAGTACTGAACTTACTTCACGTTCTTATTTATGTATATGCTCCCTATATTCACACTTTGTATATAGGTTAATGTAGCTGGTGGTGGTAGTAGTGATAGAGTTACCTCCCTTGTTGTCCAGCCCGACCAGGATCTTGGTGAATTATCAACGCAACTTTTAAAGCCAAGACGACAGGCGGACAGACAGAAAGATGATCGTAAACCTAAAACTGTTCCTGTAGAAAAATATAGAAGGTATTTAGTTCTCGGGACTGATAGCTTGGTACAAGTGATTTGATAGTTTTAGCTTTGATAAAAGGACATTTGTAACATAAGTACAGATTAAAGAAAAGTCAAGTTAATGTCCCAGTTAATGTCCCAGTTAAAAATTAAGATGAAATTATAAATATTTTCTTGTATGTGGCAACAAAAGTGATAAGTAATTTTGATCTGACTTTCATTTTTTTTTTAAATTTCTAGTAATTTCTAGCTAATCTGTTTCACAGAAAAATTTAAGCAATTATGAGCACTGCGTCGTTGTCATCAATGTTATTGTGCAAAAACTTTGATGCTTTAGAAATTACCAACATGAAACTTGGAATACTTGCTTATCTAGACATGATGCAGTTATTAGACAAGGGGCATAATTCTGAAAAGCTATACAGTACCTTTTTAGTTATGCCCTTTTTAGCTCACCTGTCACAGGGTGAGCTTTTGTGATCGCTTTTCGTCCGGCGTCCGTCCGTCCGTCCGTAAACTTTTGCTTTAAATGACATCTCCTCATAAACCACTGAGCCAATTTCATCCAAACTTCACAGGAATGTTCCTTTGGTGGTCACCTTTTAAAATTGTTCAAAGAATTTTATTCCATGCAGAACTCTGGTTGCCATGGCAACCAAAAGAAAAACCTTTAAATATCTTCTTTTAAACAACCCTAAGAGCTAGAGCTTAGATATTTGGCATGAAACATCTTCTAGTGAGTGTCTACCAAGTTTGTTCAAATAAAAAACCTGGGGTCAAAATTGGCCCCGCCCCAGGGGGTCATTGATTTTCCCTATATGCATATAGTAAAAACTTAAAAAATCTACTTTTAAAGAACCCAAAGAGCTAGAGCTAAGATATTTAGCATGAAACATCCCCTAATGGGTGTCTACCAAGTTTTTTCAAATAAAAGCCCTGGGGTCAAAATTGGCCCCACCCCAGGGGGTCATTGATTTTCCCTATATGCATATAGTAAAAACTTAAAAAATTCTCTTTTAAAGAACCCAAAGAGCTAGAGCTAAGATATTTAGCATGAAACATGTTCTAATGGATGTCTACCAAGTTTGTTCAAATAAGAGCCCTGGGGTCAAAATTGGCCCCGCCCCAGGGATCATTGATTTTCCTTATATGTGTATAGCAAAAACTTAAAAAATCTTCTTTAAAAAAACAAATAGCTAGAGTTAAGATACTAAGCATGAAACATCTTCTAGTGAGTGTCTACCAAGTTTGTTGTAATAAAAGCCCTGGGGTCAAAATTGGCCCCGCCCCGGGGGTCATTCATTTTCCTTTTATGTGTATAACAAAAACTTAAAAAATCTTCTGTGAAAAAACTCAAATAGCTAAAGTTTAGATATTAAACGAAGCATCTTCTAGTGAGTGTCTACAAAGTTTGTTCAAATAAAAGCCCTGGGGTCAAAATTGGCCCCGCCCCGGGGGTCATTCATTTTCCTTTTATGTGTATAACAAAAACTTAAAAAATCTTCTGTGAAAAAACTCAAATAGCTAAAGTTTAGATATTAAACGAAGCATCTTCTAGTGAGTGTCTACAAAGTTTGTTCAAATAAAAGCCCTGGGGTCAAAATTGGCCCCGCCCCGGGGGACATTGATTTTCCTTATATGTGTATAGCAAAAACTTAAAAATCTTCTTTGAAAAAACCCAAAGAGCTAGAGTTTAGATATTAAGCATGAAACATTTTCTAGTAAGTGTCCACAAAGTTTGTTCAAATAAAAGCCCTTGGGTCAAAACTGGCCCTGCCCCAGGTGTGTCATTGTTTTTAACTATATGTGTAAAGAAAAACTTGACCAGCTAGACCTTAGATGTTTAGCATGAAACATCTTCTAATGGGTGTCTACCAAGTTTGTTGAAATAAAAGCCCTTGGGGCTTAAACTGGCCCCGTTCCGGGGGCCTATATACAGGTGAGCGACTTCAGGGCCATCATGGCCCTCTTGTTTAACTTAATTACAGAATTTACTTAGAATATTTGTCAATAATGGTAATTTAAACAGACAAGCGTAAAACGACACAAGTGCTCATGTTTTTCATATATTGCTATGTGGTGAAACATAGATTGATTCAAAGGTTTATTTGCATGTAGGATTAGGTTTCATTGCTTTAATCTGACGCAGCTTTTTGCTTCATTTGAAATTTTTAGCCATTTTAATTCTTATCACACTTGATATCTTTAATGGATTTGTCCGTCTTTCAACCTGGCCAAAACCATATTATTGGGGATATTCCGTATAAGGACTGACTGGGCAGTGGACAGTGCACACAATGCTCACCAGCTATTTAAGTCTGTGCTGGACGCAAGTGTCAAATCCCTTGCGGCCAGCAGGCTGAGGGCATGGTTTATACAACTTTGGTTTACATCCAATAGGCAATCATACAAGCCACATATCTAAGCACATTCAAAAATCATGATATTTTATTTTTAGTAAGAGACAGTATCTTTTAAACCCCTGCAGAGATCGAAAATTCCACTCATCCACTGGTAATTACTAGTAGAATTAAGGAGTATTTGATGCAGAATGAATAGAAAAATGTTGTCTGCACATTGGATTTAGTAACTACTCGTCCTAGGACGAATGACTCTCAAAATATTTTAGATGCCTGCCCTGTCTATAGAATTCATCTACCGTTTATAGATTTCTAATATCTGTTAATAATTTAAAATTATATCCTGCAATATAACCTCTATGTCATCACTAGATATATTGTATATCTCTTTAATATTTTCTAGCTTATAACTATAATATATTATACTAAGGCATATATGATACTTGCATATTCTATTGAAGTCAGTTTTATAGTCACAATGTAGATAAATGAGTACAAAATCTACAAAAACTGGGATATGGTTTACATGTATATTGTATGGATAAAGCCTTTAAACAGGAGATACCAGACATTACATTATGCTTTTGCTTCACATGCATGTAATTTTTATGGATGTTGTTTTTATTTAAAGATTTGTATATGGGTTGGTTACCTGATTGTACAATAAACATTTTAATTTTGAACTGCTGCTCTTTCCGTATCTTAAAAAGGGACACATTAAAATGCTGTTCAGTGGTTAGTTATGCTCATTAGTGGGGGTATATTGCTTTCCATTTTTCTGTCTGTCCATCCGTAGACCAAATGGCTTAAAGAACAATTATGCCTAGGAACTTCAAACTTAGTATGATGATTGTTCATGACCAGTAGATGGCCCCTATTGACTTTGGGGTCAAAGTTCAAGGTCTTATTGACCTTGTAGGTATAAACGGTTTCTGATCAATAACTAAAGAAAACTCAGGCCTAGGAACTTTAAACTTGGTATGGTGATAACTCATGACCAGTAGATGACCCCTATTGATTTTGGGGTCTAGGGGTCAAAGGTCAAGGACACATAGTAACCTGACCAAATGACTAATTGGCTGCGGATAGGGGGGCATGCATGTTTTACAAACATATCTTGTTTCTAAAGAATACATACTCCTGATGTCATGTAAGATCAATGAAATGGAAAAAAAATCACATTCCTTTTCCTTATGTCATATAACCTATTATTTATAACTACAGAATGTGTCAAGAGAACAAAGCTTTAATGAATACTTTAGAGTCAAGAACAGAAGACCTCAGGAAAATAACAGCTCAGAAAATGGGTATGATACATTATGGTTTATCTGAATACAAATTTTAATATTCCAAACATTATTTCCTCATTTGCCAAGTTGTTTCAATACATGAAATGATTTTATTAATGGAGTTCTACAGTTGTCATTTTCTCAATATGAAACTTGATATTTTTAAGTGGCTGTGAAAATTTTTTTATTTTATTTTATTTTTTTGTGTGTTATCTAAAGCTGTGGACAGGGAGAATGATGAACTTCTGGCATTGTTAGACATACAAGAGCGGGCGAAATATGAGAAGACCAGGAGTGTGTCTTCTGAGGAGAATTACTGCTCGTTCTCAACTACTGAGGTAATTATAGAACAAACTTAACCCCAACATGTTTTTTCTGATTGTCTCCCTTGATATTCCAGTCATATATTTTTGAATGAGATGTACAACTAAAATTTATAAATAAAAATGATTGTTGGGTTGTTGTTGTTGGTGGGTTTTTTTTCAAGTTAGTAAAAAGTTATTTATGTATGTTCAAAGAATAAGAAATAGAATTCTGAGCAATGTTTGATCTGAAATTGTCATTCAAGCTTATGAAGTCATGTTTTGTTTAAACTGCTTATACTGAAGTATTTTTCTCTTATCAATCGGTTGTGGGCATAATTTAAGGACACAATGTTTTTACTCTGTCTGTTTATTTGTCTGTATATCACAAAATTTTAACCTTAACAAAAAGTCCTTTTTTTCTATACAGCCTCCAAACTTCACAGGTGCATGCACCTTGATGAGCCAATTGGAGGTCAGTGTGTCAAAAAGGTCAAGGTCATTCCCTGGGGGGCATGGCATTCATTTAAATATATTTTTTTAGTGGGATATATTTGTAGACTACAGTTAATTTTTTTGTTCCTTTTTGCTTGTGTAATCATACATTTATATACATGAATTAAGTGTAATGAGATTTGTTCAGGTATTGTAAGTTATGATTACTAAGTTATGATTACATGTATATGAATGATTATTTACAGCTTGCGGTGCTAGGAGCATGTAGGTGTAGAATATCAACACCTGATCCATGTACCTGTGCCCATGCTGCTGCTAATCTGAAGAAAGAAATTGTCAAAATGAAAGAGGAGGTAAGATTTTAGAGTCAAACTTCATATGATCAAATAAAAAAGATCTATCATAAAGATTTCCTCTGAAAACATTCTGCAACTGTAAACCTTGTGTCAGTGATTCCAATTGATTTATAAATGTATTAGTAAAGTTAACAATTGCCACAGGAGAATAGTTCTGTTCTTGCATATCAGACTGGTGTTTTCAGTTAGTTTACCCATGCTGGAAATCTCATTTAGGGTTGGTGGTGCCAGATGAGGCTTGTGCCTTAAACATGTTGCATTTTGGTGCTTTTTAAAATGATACTGGGTGTCTAGGATGAAGTGAACAAAAACGGGGTCCAAAATCGATCCTAAGGGAAGTCTCCACATAAGTTTGCTATATACATGTACAAAGTTTGATTACAATAACCAATTCCTGGTGTAAGAAAAAAAGGAAATCAATGAAATGTGAAAAATTAATCTATTGAGGTAAACCATTTGAAATATAGTAGAATATGCAAGGAAAAATATCTGAGATGTATTTTTGTTTCAGATCGAAATATCTAAACCTACTCAATGTCACAAATAAAGTAAACTATGTGTCACACATATTTTATAATCAAGAGGTAATGATATATGACAATGAATAAAGTTTGTGTTCATGAAATGTTATGACAATTTGCTGTTTTATATTTAGTTACTGCTGTACAAGAGTCGTAGAGACGAGGCTTATCACACAGTAGATGCTTACCGGAAAGCTTTTGAGGAACAGTTACAGAGGAATAAATCTCTAACACTACAGTTAGCTAATATAAGTTCAGGAAAGGGCAGTACAGGAAACTTATCTGGAACCTCTAAGGCTAAACTTGCCCTCAAATGGCTGATTGGTAGTCTAAATGATGAAGGTATGTTGTTTTTAAAGTGACATTATGCCCATTGTGTAAATGGTGAATGCATTGGTAAAAGTACAAGTAACTTTACATTTTGCCATAATTGTAATCAGTCTCATATTTTACTATGCAAAAATAATTAAACAATAATCCATGTGACCCAAGAAAATAAACAAAAAATGGTTTGGAACGTTCAGTTTACAAAAAGAGCGATCAGTAATCACATGTGTCGCCTCATGATGGCCAATTTCATGTTGGGACAAATTTTGTGACAGACGGACAGACAGACGGACAGTGCACAACTAGACTAACAACTTTGTACTGATCATCCCTGTAAAGTTTGGATAAAATTGCACCAGTAGTTTATGAGGAGTAGTCCGGACAAGCTTTTGCGTATCTGGCAACACACAGAAAAAAACACCTTTTTATCAAAGGGCCATAACTCAGCCAAAAATCGTTCAACCGGAAAACCCGTGCAATATGCGCAAGGACTTCAGCTACAGATCAATCCTGTAAAGTTTCATTGAAATTGCATAAGTGGTATAAGAGAAGTAGTCTGGACAAACTTTAAAAATAAAAATTATTAAAGGGCCATAACTCAAACAAAAATCATTGAACCCGGAAAATGCTGACAATATGCACAACTAGACTTGGTACTGATCATTCCTGTAAAGTTTGGATGAAATTGCACCAGTAGTTTATGAGGAGTAGTCCGGACAAGCTTTTGTGTATCTGGCAACACACAGAAAAAGAAACCTTTTTATCAAAGGGCCATAACTCGGCCAAAAATCATTCAACCGGAAAACCCGTGCAATATGCGCAAGGACTTGAGCTACAGATCAATCCTGTAAAGTTTCATTGAAATTGCATTAGTGGTATAAGAGAAGTAGTCCGGACAAACTTTAAAATTAAAAATTATTAAAGGGCCATAACTCTGACAAAAATCATTGAACCGGAAAATCCTGACAATATGCACAACTAGACTTGGTACTGATCATTTCTGTAAAGTTTGGATGAAATTGCACCAGTAGTTTATGAGGAGTAGTCCGGACAAGTTTTGTGACGGACGGACGGACAGACAGACAGACAGACAGACAGACGGACAGACGGACAGACGGACAGACAGACGACGGAGAAGTGATCCCTATATGTCGCCACTACTCCGTAGAGGCGACACAAAAAGAGTGGGGCAGTCTTTTGGTGTTTAAGGCAAATTTATAGTTTATATATTTTCCAATATCAACTGTTGCCAAATCGCCATTATAACAGTCAATGTTTAGATATAATTAGTGAAATAAATAGTCAATTCAGCTAAACTTGACAATGAAAAAATAAGCATAATGTCACTTTTAGAGAGAAAACTCTAAATTTATGATTGAGAAAAAAACAACAAAAACACTATAATTCAACATAAAAGTGTTATGAAATAAAGTAATAGCAATATTTTATAATTGTGTGATTGTTCATTTGATAAATGTATACAAATATATGAAAAACCTTTGACCTTTTGATAAAGAAGTTTGTTTGACATCTGCTAAAAGGTCAGCTTCTTATCTGTGCAATCTTTCCATACCTCATCATAAAAATAAAACCTTAAAAACAAACTATAAGAAGTTTCAGTTCCCAATAGGACAAGAGTATTATGAAAATTTAGCAAAACAAAGGGAGTTAACACAAAAAGTGTGAACATAATATCTAGCATTATTAATAAGTCTTAGTCTCAGTTTTGCTTGAAATGCTTATTTTATATTTGAGTGGCAGTGTGGCTGAGTGGTTAACGCGTCAGACTTGTAATCTAAGGATTGCTTGGTGCATGGATTCAAACCCAGTCAGGGTCAAGCCGTTGTTTCCTTGAACAAGAAACTTTACAGTCATTGCTTAGTACTGGATGGTTCCAGGAACTGATTTGAGAGTATTTCAATAAGCTTATGGCGTCAACCACAATCAAACTAAAATAAATGCGTATAAACTAAATTCTTATTTTAACATGTGCTCATTCAAACCGTACAAGAATAATGAGTGGTCTTGTATTACAGAGATAGCAGATGATGTATCTAGTATGGTACCTGGCCCGGCCATGTCAGAATATGAGTTGATCACCTACCTTACAGAAATGGTAGATATATATTTCATTATTAACAGTCAACTTGTCCAGTTAGCTCAATAGGTAGAGCATTGGACTGTTAATCTGGCAAACCAGGTTTGATTCCCAGTTGGCGCAGGATCATTAAAATCCTTTCTATGGTCATTTGCACTGTACTTCTGCACTGGCATGTACTGCAGAAATCAGTTCTTTGCGAAAATAAAAGCAACTAGTACTGGTAAACTGCTTGACAGCCCGTCCAGGAACGATGCAGTGGCTGAACTGTGTTCTGGTAAATTAATGTGGCTTACTGCTGTGAACTGGAGTGAAAACTACAAACCCCACTACCGTCAACGTGTCGTATTAGACATTTGAGGAGTAATAACATATCCGAATAAATTTTACTGATTGTTAAACTATCAATAAATTAAAATATTTACAGTGAATATTAGTCAAATGATGGAAGAGATATAGTGTATTGATAAACACAAATAGAATAATTTTAGGTAAGCTTTATTATATATTTTCATGAGAAAATCCCAAATCCAAAAGTAAGATTACATTGTCAGCAATTAGCATTACAGGCATGCAAGCAGTTCCCATACGAAAACAATATTAGGCCTCGTAACAAAAGTTATTCTATATTAAGAACATATTGGGATTTGCATGATTTGTGTGACGAGCAGAATACTGATGTGGTACAATAATTTCTTTGGTGAGTGATCAAATTAATCTATAGTTTTTAAATAACTAAGATTTTTGTATGGGAACTACTCGCATGCCAGTATTCTGTATTTTTTGTCGTATAAGAAAAGTTTTTACGTGCTAAATAACGCAAAAAGATAAATTTGAGTTACTTTCGATAATTTGTTCATTACTCTTGTAAGTGCTTGTAGGAAAACTTACAGACATATATATATACCAATGAAAAGTCAAGTCAGCTGTGGAATGGTCATTGTTATATTCATTATTAAAATCCCTTAAATTTAGGTAATTATCATAGCCATATTTTTAAAGTCCAAACTCTTTTTTCAGTTAAACGAGAAGAAGGAAGTATTAGCACATCAAAAGCTTGCTGCACAGATTCTTGCAGATAGAGTGAAAGTTTTGGAAGAGAAACTCTCCCACTATGAAAAAGAAAGTTCAGATGTGTTTACATGAACATAAAGCAGGTTTACATGAACATAAAGCAGGTTTACATGAACATAAAGCAGGTTTACATGAACATAAAGCAGGTTTACATGAACATATAGCAGGTTTACATGAACATATAGCAGGTTTATTTATACATATAGAAGGTTTATAACAACTGATACCTTTTAGGTTTATGTAAACATGCGAACAAACAATAGGTTTATGTGAACATATTAGCTAGAATGTAAAACTAATATGTGAAGATACAGCAGGTTTACAAAATGTGTTTTAATAGTATAAGGTAAACACATTTATGTGAACACAAAGTGGGTTTATTTGACCATACATTTATAGTAAGTTTATGTGTACATAAAGCAAGTGTATGTAAACATTGGTCAATTTATGTGAACATAAACCATAGTTATGTGAACATACAACAAGCTGTAAGAACATATAGCAATTTATGTGAACATGAACCATGGTTATATGAACATAAAGCAAGCAATTACAACTTAATTATAGCAATTTGTGTGAACACAAAGTTTTTATGTGAACATATAATAGGTTTTATGTGAACATTAAAAGTTTTTGTGAACATGTCATGTGATCATATGGCAGCTTACAAGAACATAATGTACATGACCAGAATATGTAAGCAAATGTTTACAAGAACATTTTACAAGGATATGATAAAAAGATTTATCAATAAAAATCATGTTTTTATGAATATTATGGCATATTCTACATAGATATAAAAGATGTGATTTTAAATGTGTATGCTATTACAATTTACAAGTGTATGTTGACATATTTTTATATAATGGCTACTGTACATGATTATAATAGCATGTTTATGCTACTGAAATAGCAAAGTTTTCATTACATTTTATAAATTTACACATGATGCAATAATTGCTCATTTACATGACTGTAATAAGTTTACGCATGATATAAAAGCAATTTTACATGCCATTGATAGTAAATATACCTGACTTTTTATTGTTATGTACATGTACATGATTTCCATGTAAATCTCTTAGTCCCAATATGGAATCCCAGCATACAATGTATGTTGATATGAAGGTGTATGATTTTGTCTGAGATATATTTTTTCATAAATATAATGAGTGGAATGTTTACTTAAAGATTTACCAGTAAGCGTTGTTTTTTCTTGCCATGTTTAAATTTATTATGGGTATTTGTTGCTTTGTTACGATTGATACATGGATTTTTTTTATCGTGTCTGAAGTTTACCTCATTTTATGAAATATTTACAAAGTTCAATTCAGCCTTAATACTTAAAAGTGCCTTTCCATTTTATTGATATTTTGAGAAAACAGTATTAGTTTTATATTGATTTAGATAATGAATCCATGTTGATTGATTGTGTCTTCCATTTTGTATGTAGCATATACCATTTTGTATTTATGTGTAAATATGTACAGCATTTGGTCAATTTTTAATTTTACTACTTGTGTTCTGATAAATTGTGGACTTGGTTACCTTGACCTTTTATCTACAAAGACCTTAACCTAGTTTATGTTTTAAACCAAAGGTTAAGTTCATAGAAACAACAAATGAATTAGCTTTTGTAAAGGTGATTTTTAAATTTTGGATATTTTGGTTTTGTAATACTAATGGTGGTCCTGAGCTTCATTTAATGTGGCTTTTAGTTTCTTGATTAAGGCTTATTTGTACCATATATGAGCCGCGTCATGACAAAACCAACATAATGGTTTTGCGACCAGCATGAATCCAGACCAGCCTGCGCATCCGGGCAGTCTGATCAGGATCCATGTTGTTCACTAACAAACTCTATAACAAGTAGAGAAACGGATAGCGAACAGCATGGATCCTGATCAGACTGCGCGGATGGGCAGGCTGGTCTGGATCCATGCTGGTCGCAAACCCATTATGTTGGTTTTGTCATGTTGCGGCTCATATATATATGTCATTGAAAATTTCATGAAAAAGGTAATAGTTTATGTTGTGAATATATCTACTTAATTAATGTTACATGTAGTTGCCATGGAGAATTTATGTATTGCTATAAGTTAATTTATTGTTATAGAAATTTTATCTGTTAACAATTCTATAAATATTCGTAGACATAAAATTGTGTTGATAAAACAAATTGGGTGACCATATATGTACATATGAATGTTTGTTAATATGGTAAGGATTATAACTTAGGTGTTAAACTGTTAAAAACTTATAGCTAAGCCTTTCTTAATGTTAAAGAAGCACGCTTCCAGATTCCTGCTAATTTTTCAAAAAATTTGAAAATGTATTAGAAAGTAAAATAATGTGAAGTGAACAAAAAAAAAATTACGAAAAACAACAAAGAAAATAATTTACACATTGCAAATGGCAATTACAACCAATGTGAATTACCAAAAAAGTGCAAAAATTGCCCGTACTGCATTAGTAACAAAGTACAAATACATTGTAAAATACTGCAAAATAGGTCATTTATTGCAAATAACATGGAAATTATTACTATTATCTTGAATTTTTATACTTTTCTTAAAATCTCAGTACATTTTTGTCAAATTTGATTTTCTTGAAATATTTTGGCTAATCTGGAGGCATGCAGCTTTAAAGCAGATTTTACATATTTCAGTTTTGATACTGGCCTCTAAATGAACCATGAATTTTAAGATCAAAGAGTGTTTTTTTGCTTCTCTTTATACCATTGTGTATATCTGTAAAAAAAGGAAACATGTTCTCAGTGATTTTTCACCTTATATAAATGAGGTCATTAAAAGACCTCTTCACAATTGAAATTTTCTTAACAGTCTTGCAGTTTTCCCAAAAGTCTGAACTCAACAGCTTTTTTCTCTCCAAATTAGCAATTTGAGCGATATTTTTTTCCCAAAATCAAGAGGCTAAGTCCTCTTTCAAATAAAGTGAGCAAAACCACTGGTTTAAACCTTTTGAAATCATGATAGGTGTTTTGGTCAAATGATAATTATGATGTTGCCAGTTACAAGTTTTTTCTCTTGGTGTACATACAACCTTTTTTTTGCCATGTACAGTTGTGCCATACCAGGTAGGTAACTCAGATCTATAGCAAAACTTTCACGTAAATTTACAGATTTTGGTGTATAATTTATAATAAAGGGCATTGGAAACTCAGATTTATATGCATGTAATTAAAATTGCTTTTATTTACACACAAAAACAGCTTAATTCTGAAATAATATTATTAATTGATTAATTAATTGATTGATTGACTGAATAATTGACTAATTAGTTAGCTGGCTGATTGATTAGTTTATTGATTTACCATGACAAAAAGGGAGGTGATTAATTTAGGTTGATTTACCATGACAAAAAGGGAGGTAATACATGGTTGTTGTTCTAATTTTCACTATTTTACATGTTTGTGCCAAACATTATGTAATTTTTAATATATATGTAAAAAATTGTACATACAAGTATGCAATATGTTAGTTTGCTGAATAAATTAGAAAAAGGGGGAAATGATTTCCTTTGTTTGTTTTATCCACTTGGAAGTTTGAGTACAAGTTTTTTTACTGATAAATCAGCTTATAAATTGGCATATGCATTTTTAGCTCACCTGTCACAAAGTGACAGGGTGAGCTTTTGTGATCGCTTTTCGTCCGGCGTCCGGCCGTCGTCCGTCCGTAAACTTTTACTTTAAATGACATCTCCTCATAAACCACTAAGCCAATTTCATCCAAACTTCACAGGAATGTTCCTTTGGTGGTCACCTTTAAAGATTGTTCAAAGAATTTAATTCCATCTAGAACTCTGGTTGCCATGGCAACCGAAAGAAAAAACTTTAAATATCTTCTTTTAAAAAACCCTAAGAGCTAGAGCTTAGATATTTGGCATGAAACATCTTCTAGTGAGTGTCTACCAAGTTTGTTCAAATAAAATCCCGGGGGTCAAAATTGGCCCCATCCCAGGGGGTCATTGATTTTCCCTATATGCATATAGTAAAAACTTAAAAATTCTTCTTTTAAAGAACCCAAAGAGCTAGAGCTAAGATATTCAGCATGAAACATCTTCTATTGATTTTCCTTATATGTGTATAGCAAAAACTTAAATAATCTTCTTTGAAGAAAACCAAATAGCTAGAGTTTAGATATTAAGCATGAAACATCTTCTAGTGAGTGTCTACCAATTTTGTTCAAATAAAATCCCTGGGGTCAAAATTGGCCCCGCCCCAGGGGGTCATTGATTTTCCCTATATGCATATAGTAAAAACTTAAAAATTCTTCTTTTAAAGAACCCAAAGAGCTAGAGCCAAGACATTCAGCATGAAACATCTTCTATTGAGTGTGTTCCAAGTTTGTTCAAATAAAAGCCCTGGGGTCAAAATTGGCTGCGCCCCAGGGGGTCATTGATTTTCCCTATATGCATATAGTAAAAACTTACAAAATCTTCTGTGAAAGAACTCAAAGAGCTAGAGCTAAGATATTCAGCATGAAACATCTTCTAATGGGTGTCTACCAAGTTTGTTCAAATAAAAGCCCTGGGGTCAAAATTCCCGGGGTCATTGATTTTCCTTATATGTGTAAAGCAAAAACTTAAATAATCTCTTTTGAAAAAACCCAAATAGCTAGAGTTTAGATATTAAGCATGAAACATCTTCTAGTGAGCGCTACAAAGTTTGTTCAAATTAAATTCCTGGGGTCAAAATTGGCCCCGCCCCGGGGGGTCTTGATTTTCCCTATATGCATATAGTAAAAACTTAAATAATCTTCTTTGAAAAAACCTAAATGGCTAGAGTTTAGATATTACGCATGAAACATCTTCTGGTAAACGTCTACAAAGTTTGTTCAAATTAAAGCCCTGGGGTCAAAACTGGCCCGCCCCGGGGGTGTCATTGTTTTTAACTATATGTGTGTAGTAAAAACTTAAAAATCTTCTTTTAAAAAACCCAATGAGCTAGAGCTTAGATGTTTAGCATGAAATATCTTCTTATGTATGTCTACAAGGTTGGTTCAAATAAAAGCCCTTGGGTGAAAATTGGCCCTGCAGGGGGGGGGGGGGGAGGGGGAGCGGGTGAGATCATTGTTTTTCATTACATGTGTGTAGTAAAAACTTATTATTGTGAAACGTCTTCTAATGAGTGTCTTCCAAGTTTGATCAAATAAAAGCCCTGGGGTTTAAACTGGCCCCGCTTCGGGGTCCTACATACAGATGAGTGACCTCAGGGCCATCATGGCCCTCTTGTTATAGTATTAGCTCACTTGAGCACATTGTCCTCTTGGTGAGATATTGTGGTTAGACTATGTGCTGTTGTGCATCGTCTGTCATAAAATTTTGTTTGAAAAAAACATCTCCTCCTAAACCATGGTACCAATATTGTTAAAACTAAGCTGGATTGTTCCTAGCATGAAACGGTTTCAAAATTGTTTAAAGAATTCTATTCCATGCAGACTTGCAATGGCAACAAAAATTAAAATCTTTAAACTTTTCCTCTCCAAAACCACAAGGGCTAGATATTTGGTATGCAACATTGCCAAGTTTTTAAGGTCAAAATTTGCATGAATAATTGTCTAGTTGACCTCTGATAGCCCTGGGGTCAAAAGCCCTCCCCATCCGGTTTCAACCAGGGTCATGACCCAGTGACCTACCTTTTTTGTATTTATGCTATGAAATTTGGACTTCTGGTAGATGCACATTTGCAGATGCAATCTGAACTTTGATAAATGTTGAACTTAATTTTGATCAAGTGACATACTTTTTTGTATTTTTAGCTACAGCTATAAATTTGGACTGCACTGTATAATTATGTGCACAGTTTCAAATCAAGAATTGAACTTTGACATTAGTTGACCTAGATTTTGACCCAGTGACCTACTTTTTTTGTAAATAGAGCTGAAGCTCTACACCAATCGTGTATATAGTTTATATAAACCTTTGGTTAATCCAATGGAAACATAACATATATGCAATATTATAATGTTAGTTTTAGGAACAACATAGGTTATATAAGAAAATGGTATGTGATTTGAACCTTTATGAGAGAAAAAAATAATTGTACATGATAAACTCTAAAGATTTTGACCAGCCTACATGGCCCAGTATTATTAGTTGTAAGCTAAAATAATCAAACTTCTAGCCCTACACCCTTCATGATCAATTCCTACACATCAAAACTTCAAACCTGTGTTTAATAACTGATAAACACTAGTGAGACCAATATTATATCTTAATTATTTACATTATGATTATCCAATTGAAAATAAAGTTACACATGTGCAGTATTATAAGTATATTAAGTATTATATTGTCAATCAAAACCTATGTTATCACATTGTGTGTACAAACATTATCAGTGTGATATCATCTGATTTTTAATCTTGAAAACAAAGATGCATTTAACCCTGACCTTAGTGTGGACAACTGCTTAATATATAGTTCAAGTAAGTCATTTTATTTATGTATAAAATCTCATTTATAAAAGTAACAATTCTATTGTGTTTCTTTTTTAGTTTTCAAAATTTTACACTTTTGCATCTGTATTTGAAATCTTATTAATTGATTTATCTAAAACAGTTCAAGAGTGTGATACTTAGCTACACAATCTAACTAAAATAAATTATTTTCAGTAATGTCTTGCAATACCTTTTCATATAGCATTAAGTATTTATTTTTGACGATTAAAATGAAATAATAACCATGCATAAACAACAACACCAGTAATATAGTGATGACTTATCAAATAAAGAAGAAAAGAAATACATTCATGCTGTATTATAAATGAAATTAATTTATTCTTGTTACTTGAACAGATTTCAATTTAGTTGCAAAACTCTATGATAAATGTTCCGTGTTCTTATTTTACATCCACATTCTACCTTATTTATGACATCTGCTGTTACCTATTAAGCTACAAATATTTCATTGAAGTGGCGGCATGGACGAGGGGTTAATGCGTTGGACTAGTAATCTAATGATTGCTAGCCTCATTGGTTCAAACCCCGTCATGGGCCATTCATTCAAGAAACTTTACACTCATTGCTTCTTTACTGGTTGGTTCCAGGAACGGATTCGAAAGTGTGTCTAAAAGCTTATAGCTTCCTACACAATCGCACTAAAATAAATTCTGTATAAATCAAATATTTCATTTGTAATAACATTTAATGAAGTTTCAAATTCTACATTATTAACTTTTTTTTCAGGTAATTCAGAATGGCTTTCTGCTATAGGATGATGATGCTCAGGTTAATATTATTAACATCCATTCTGTACTCAGTAAATGCAGCCTACAAAAGAGATCCCTGTCCATCTCCGTGCCGTTGCTATGAATTCCTGGGTGTTCAATCTGCATATTGCAATAATACAGGGATAACTTCCGTACCTCAAGGAATTCCGGAAAATACGCAACTTCTCGATTTGTCAGCCAATCCCATCCCTTACATCAAAGTTGGTGCAATCAACAATCTACCAAATTTACAATACATTGTTTTGAATAACATGGGGTATCATGAGGATAGCATAGAATTTGGTTCTCTTGAATTACCTAATCTTACAGATATCGATTTAGCCCTTAATGCCTACACAACAATACCAAAATCTCTTCCAAAGAAGATGACTTCTTTGATGATGAATGATAATCAAATCAAAGTGCTGAAAGCCGACAGTTTTAATGGATATCCTAACCTTCAGTCTTTGCTTATAGATTTCAATAAACTGAATAAAATCGAGGCAGGCACTTTTACCCCTGCCGTAGCTCTTCAAGAACTTTCTATACGATTCAACAAGCTAACAGATGACAGCATCCCTCGTGGACTGCTCTCCAAAAATCTGAATCTTACCCAGTTGGAAATGAGGTTCAATAACTTCGAACACGTCATACCAGATTTACCTGCGTCGGTTCAGTACGTAGATTATGTTGGAAATCATATCACCGAGCTACCAGCTTACTCACTGCAAACAACACCAAACCTTACCTCATTCGAGGCGTGGCAAGGACAGGTTAGCAGGACTTATATAGATTAAATTCTAAAGGCTGAAAATATATATTCTTTTTTCTTTGAAGAAAAAAATAAGTAAAAGTCATACATGTATTTATTAATTAACATTTAAATATTACAAATATAATTTTTTTAAGCTGTACCTTTTAAAAGTTTAAGATCATACTTCAACTTTAAAATATCAAACTAAAATGATTTCAGACACAATACTGACTGCTACAAGGTCTTTCAAAGTATTTTTGGTCTTTCTACTGTGTATTTTGTTTGTTTGTTTGTTTCATTTTTACGCCTTTTTCAAAAGTATTTCAGTCATATAGGCGGGTAGTTTCCTAACCATCGTTCCTGGAGAGTTACACCAGTACTAGACAACCTTCCTCCGCGCTAAACTACCAAAGCATCTCCCGGGGATCGAACCCACGCCAGAGAGGTAACTGGATTAGAAGTCATCGACTGTAACCCCTCGACCACGGAGGCGGTTTCTACTGTGTATAGATGACACTATAATAAAATATAATAATTAAAATAATCTATTCACTTTGATTGTTTCAGATGACCACACTACAAGACAATGCTTTTTACGGCTTGCACAAACTTACTCTTTTGGACTTTATGCAAAACAAGATTTCCTCTGTCTTAACTAAAGACACTTTTAATGGTTTGACAGGACTACAAACACTTTATCTGGACTCAAATAACATCAGCAAAATAGAACCTGGAGCATTTCGTTCATTCAAATCTTTATCATCAATGTGGCTTCAGGCAAATCAGTTGACCGTTCTTGAACCGGAAGTTCTAGATGTCAAATATATTCCGAAGCTCTCGGAACTATATATAGATACCAATCCGTGGTATTGTGACTGTCATCTGCGCTGGCTACGTGAGAAAGTCAATAACGCCTCGTACGTAATTCAAGATCCACATTTGATCACGTGTGCTGGACCAGCAAAAGTGGCGGGAAAAGCATGGGATGTGCTTCAACCTAGTGATTTTGTTTGTCCATAGAAAATGTCAAGTTCATGACATGTATTGTAAAAGATATTTTCCTCATATTGTCACCTTAGTGCAGTAATAGGTTAACTCCCATTAAATTGTATAAGGAGTTAACCTGTTACTGCATTAAGGTGATGAATATATGCTATTGTATGTATAATAATGATTATCTCCAATTGCAAAAAAGAATAAAATGTGTTAAAAAATATAGAAGTGTCAAAATAAATATCATATCACATCATCGCTCTGAAGGGAGAAAATTAAACTGAAATATGGAAAACCCTCTTCAAAGACCATTGGGAAGGCAAATGTTTTGATTGATTGATTTGATATTGAGGTTTAACTTTTACTGAAATCTAACTGTTGGAAGAACAGTTTTGCTTTACAGAGTGCCTCTCTGCAGAGAGAGGCACAGGTTGCATTGTATTATCACTGCAGCTTATATAGGAATAGTGGAAGTGCTTTGTTTAAGTTGGTCTTCAAAAGTCATATAGTTACCCAAATGCACATACACACACACACACAAGCGCACGCAGGCACACACACTATAATTATGATACTGTACATTCGTAAGGTCAATTTATTTGACAGCCATGATGATTATATTACCTATTATATTACCTCATAATACACACAGGTGATGCAAATTTATGAATTAATTTCTATTTTAATTAAGAAAAGCAATAATTTTTATTGTGCTTTATCATGAATTCATTAAAAGATACTTTTGATAGGTTATATGGCTGTTTATTAAAGATTATTTTTAATATAACCCTTCCCTAGGTTTGGTTATATAATTTCACAATCATTTATACTGGGCCATATAACCTGGTCTAAACAAAAAATTTAACTAATAACATATACGCCGCGTCTCGACAAAACCAACATAATGCGTTTGCGACCAACATGGATCCAGACCAGCCTGCGCATCCGCGCAGTCTGATCAGGATCCATGCTGTTCGCTTACAAACCCTATAACAAGTAGAGAGTGATAGCGAACAGCATGGATCCTGATCAGACTGGGCGGATGCGCAGGCTGGTCTGGATCCATGCTGGTCTCAAACGCATTACGTTGGTTTTGTCATGACGCAGCTCATGTATAAAATGTATAACCATTTCAGACATCAGTGATGTTTTATCTAAACCTGATAACCAAGGTCAAGAAAACTGGCTAATTGTTATCACTAAGATAACCTCAAATATTCATATATCAGTATTTGGTATATTTTCTGTTTACTATTGTGGATTTGATGTTGTATAACACTCAGATTTCTGAGAGCAATTTGCAAGGTTTGTGTGTGTGCTTTTTTTTCAATTTTGAAAAGCTTTTTACTTTTTTTTAAAATTTAAATGGTAATAGATTAAATTTGTGTTTTTCAAAGTTCAAAAATATGTTAATTATTCAATCATGAAATTTAGATATTGAAATCAAGGACCTATTACATTTGTACTTTTCTGTTATATTTAAGTTGAAAATAAACTTTTATGAACCTTCTAAAAAAATCTTATTTAAAATGGACCATATATTGGATAGTTTCCATGTTTTTTTTTACAAGCTATTCCATTAATTGAACTATGACCATGAAGTTGCTAACACAAAGTAATTAAATCCTTATTTCAAACTTCGAAATATTATATACCTAACGTAGACCTTTAAAAGACCTTTACAAATTCTTTTTTTCCTTTACAAGGTTGCAATACTGGAATGATACCTATACAATTATGGCACAGTTATACCATCTTGTAATTTTGTTTATGGTGTTGATAACAGCTGAAGCAGCATATCGGGGACCGGCATGCCCATCTTCGTGTAGATGCCTACACTTTGAAGGCCTCCAATCAGTGTATTGCAATAGAACGGGTATAAATGCCGTACCCTCCGGTATTCCTCCAGATACTCAGCTGTTGGACCTTTCCGAAAATAACATCGAGCGCATTGCTTTGGACGACCTGAAAGGACTTAAATACTTACAAGAATTAGATCTATCATCAAACAGGCTGGATGAAAGCAGCATAGAAAGCCGGGCTTTAGATTTAACCAAATTAGTAACGATTGACCTGTCATTTAACTTATACAAGAGTATTCCAAAATCACTACCAGCTAACATTAGCAAGCTTTGGTTTTTCAACAATAATGTACAAATACTTAAATCAGATAGTTTTCTTAACTACACTAACCTACAATATGTAGATCTCTCAAACAACAATATGGTTGCAATCGAAAAAGGGGCATTTGATCCACTTTTATTTTTACAGACGCTGTATATACCTTTTAATAACTTAACAGATGAAAGCATTCCACCAGGAACTTTCAATGGGTCAACAAATTTACAATTATTATCAGTCCGGTTCAATTTACTACAGCACATGTTTAAATATCTCCCATGCTCACTTCAATATTTGGATTATGTTGGTAATAAAATAATAACAATACCAGCGTATTCATTTGTAGATTTACCAAACCTCCAGACACTGTCATTTTGGGAAGGTCAGGTATGTTTTTATCAACTTATTTAATTCCTCTTAACCCTGAACCACCTGAATTCGTGTAATGGATTTGCTAAGCTTTGAATTGGAATAGTCCATTCAAATTTTAAAGCTGCATGCCAAAATATTTCAAGAAAATCAAACATATGAAAAATGTTCTTAGATTTAAGTAAAGTAAAAGATTCAAGTAAAAATTTATGTTGTGTGCAATTAATGACTGATTTTGCAATACTTGTCACCATATTTCTACTGTGTGACTGCAGTAAGGGTTGTTGTTTTTTGTATATTTTGACCTCTTTTTGGTCATTTACATGGATTGTAAGGGCCATTTTCAATGTGTAAATAACTTTTTTTGTTCACTTCACAATATTATACTTTCTATCCATTTTCAATATGTTCATGAACATTAGCATAAATGGAGGCATGCCCCTATTAAAATACAACAAGAGCTGTTGGTAGGACAGCAAGGCTCGACTATTCTTAGTGCTTGATAGTAAAACAAGAGGGCCATGATGGCCCTAGATCGCTCACCTGAATTATCAAACTCATCCAAACAATTACCTAGACAAGCATTCTGACCAAGTCTCATGACAGGTGAGTCAAAAATGTGACCACTACAGTGTTAACAAGGATTATCCATATTTGAGCAGTGCGACCTAGTTTTTTACCCAGGTGACACATATTCAAACTTGACCTAGAAATCATCAAAAAAAACTTTCAGACCAATTTCCAGGATACTTGGATCAAAACAGTAGCAACTAGAGTGTTAACAAGATTTTTCTATTTTTAGCTCCGGTGACCTAGTTTCACATGCGATTTCGAACTCATCCAAGCAATTACCTAGACAAACATCCTGACCAAGTTTGATGATAATTGAGTCGAAAATGTGACCACTAGAATGTTAACAAGGTTTTTTCCATATTTGGGCGGTGTGACCTAGTTTTTCATCCAAGATGACCCATGTTCGATCTTGACTTAGAAATCATCAAAACAAACTTTCAGACCAATTAACAGAATATTTGGATCACAACAGTAGCCACTAGAGTGTTAACAAGATTTTTTCTATTTTTAGCTCCTGTGACCTAGTTTTTCATCCGAAATGTCCCATGTTCGATTTATTCCCAGCAATGACCTAGACAAGTTTCCTGACCAAGTTTGATGACAATTGAGTCAAAATTGTGACCACTAGAGTGTTAACAAGGTTTTTCTATTTTTAGCTCCTGTGACCTAGTTTTTCATCCGAGATGACCCATGTTCGAACTCATCCGAGCTATCACCTAGACAAGCATCTTGATCAAGTTTGATGATGATTGATGCAAAAATGTGACCGCTAAAGTGTTAACAAGGTTTTTCTATTTTTAGCTCTGGTGACCTACTTTTTCATCCGAGATGACCCATGTTCGAACTCATCCAAGCTATCAACTAGATAAGCATCCTGACCAAGTTTGATGATGATTGATGCAAAAATGTGACCACTAGAGTGTTCACAAAGTTTTTCTATTTATAGCTCCGGTGACCTAGTTTTTCATCGAGATGACCCATATTCGAACTCATCCGAGCTATTATCTAAACAAGCATCCTGACAAAGTTTGATGATGATTGGGTCAAAAATGTGACCACTAGAGTGTTCACAAGGTTTTTCTATTTTTAGCTCCTGTGACCTAGTTTTTCATCAGAGATGACCCATGTTCGAACTCATCCAAGCAATTGACTAGACAAGCATTCTGACCAAGTTTGATGATGATTGGTTCAAAAATGTGACCACTAGAGTGTTCACAAGGTTTTTCTATTTATAGCTCCTGTGACCTACTTTTTCATCCGAGATGACCCATGTTCGAACTCATCCAAGCTATCACCTAGACAAACATCCTGACCAAGTTTTATGATGATTGGGTCAAAAATGTGACCTCTAGAGTGTTCACAAGGTTTTTCTATTTTTAGCTCTTGTGACCTAGTTTTTCATCCGAGATGACCCATGTTCGAACTCATCCGAGCTTTCAACTAGATAAGCATCCTGACCAAGTTTGATGATGATTGAGGCAAAAATGCGACCGCTAGAGTGTTCACAAGTAATTGTGGACGGCCGGACGGACGACGGACATTCACCGATCCTAAAAGCTCACCCTGAGCAAGCTCAGGTGAGCTAAAAAGCCTTGATTAAAAGGTAAAATTATCTAAGTAAAGAAAAAGGCAAAATTTTTCTTTAAATCCATATAACAGTTATAGGCCTTGGAGGGAGTCCTATTATGCTCTCAAAGAAGAGTATAAAATTTCAACATGTATCAAAGCCTTATGTCAATGAATTTTGAAAATATTTGAGGTATTACAAAAACTTTAACGTAAATTCTAAGCCGAAAAAAGGGTATAATTATGTCAAAATGCTTGATAGAGTTACCTCCTCCTGTCTACATGTTGGGGTCATGATGGTGAATAAGTGTGCAAAGTTTTAAAGCCATATGTCAATGGACTTTGAAAATATTTAAACTATTACAAAAACTTTAACCTAAATTCTAAGTCGAAAAAGGGGCATAATTCTGTCAAAATGCTTGATAGAGTTACCTCCTCCTGTCTACAGGTTGGGGTAATGATGGTGAACAAGTGTGCAAAGCCATATGTCAATGGACTTTGAAAATATTTAAACTATTACAAAAGCTTTAACATAAGTGGTTACGCCGACGCTCGGGTGACTGCAATAGCTCTACTTATTCTTATCGAATAGTCGACCTAAAAAATGAGCCAACACCAGTATAGAACCTGGTCAGACTGCCAGGAAAGTCTGGCTCTTTACTTGTGACAAAGTATAATCACTTTCAAGTCCAGCCTCTGAAGTTTTTTACATTAAAATGTCTAATTCATTACTGCTTTATCACCTCTAGGTCTTGATTGTCCAATGATATATTTTAAAAGAATTATTATTAGTGACATTATTTATTCTGTGGTTAACATTATATAATTAACACTGGCTGAAACCTCAAATTATATAGAAATAATTGCCAAATTAAAACATAAAGCATGCACAGAACTTGGTGCTAACAGTCATGTAAATTATTTTTTCAGGTTACTACCATTGAAGACAATGCATTTTTTGGGTTATCAAAGTTGAAAATTTTGGATATGAACATGGATAAATTGTCGTCTGCTATTACAAACAATACATTTGCTGGTCTAACAAACCTACAGACGTGCTACATGTACTCTAACAGTATCAGTAGGCTTGACATTGGCGCCCTCTATCATTTTACATCTTTATCAGAACTTTGGTTGCAAGGTAATAAAATGTCTACACTGCGACCAGAAGTGCTGGATGTCAAATATATTCCGAAACTCTCCCAGCTATATATAGATTCTAATCCGTGGTATTGTGACTGTCATCTACGTTGGCTACGCGAGAAAGTTGATAAAGCGCCCTACGTCATTCAGGACACACATTTGATTGTGTGTGCTGGACCAGAAAATTTGGCGGGAAAAGCGTGGGATGTTCTTAAGCCAAGTGACTTTGTCTGCCCATCGTGAAAAGACATGGTTGCATAACTGTAGAAAATTTTTGTATACATACAATATATTCTGCAACAGAACAAGCTTCAGTCAAAAATTTTACAATTTTCAAACAGATCATCAAATGATGTATGATGTGATTTATCTCAAATTTAGTGGCAGTCATTTATGAAAAGAGATAGGAATACATCAAAAAAATTTATTCAAAATTTATGTTTACATGACAGAAAGCATTAAAATTACTATTACTGTAATTCATATAAAGTGAACACAACTGTGGTTGTTAGACATTTATTTTATGCCACATATTTTAAATTATAAAATATGCAGTAAGGTAGTTTTTTGTTTTTGTTTTTTTTTCCGTTCTTGTTTTTTTTTTAATACAAATTTCTTTTTTTTACCAAGATATCCAGATTCTTTTCCATAAAATCAAAGTCTTTCAGGACCTTCCCATTATTATAAAAAAAACAACATGATAATTATTCTTTACTAATTTTCTACTGTATAGCACCTTGAAACAAACAAATACTTCTGTCATTTTTATCTTTTCAGCTATTCAATCTTTTACCTTCATACATTTTCTGATGACCTTTAATCACCACAGATGTTCTATAAATATATACACAACTTATATCTCATTAACATTCTACCAGGTTTCAGATTCATTTACAGAACAAAATTCTATTCGATGCAATCATCACTTATGCAACTCCTACACTGTACAATTTTTGTCTATTTTTACAGTCTTCATTCCTTTATCTCAAATGAAAGTTTTATTCAAATCACTGTTAGAAAGATAAAGAAATGTTTTCAAGTTTCATCAGCTCTTGATTTACGTTTCTTTGATTTCCCGCCTTCCGCCTCCGATGATGTTCTTCTCCGTCTGGATTCCTCCTCCTGCAATATATAAATAAAAAGCATTATTTCTTCCATACAAGTAAACAAATCAAGATTAAAATCAAATTTATAAATAAAGAGTTTTTCATCGAGATGTATATGTGTAACTTGAAAACTAGCAGTGTCAATTTGATGATAAATATGTAACTTTGAAGAAACCTTTGACAGCTTATACATAGCTAAAATGTTGGATGCATGATTTAAATAATTTGATAACAAAATTCCTGTATTTTACATTTAACAGTTCAAAAACCAAATGGAAGAATATGTGTTAAGTGTAACTTTGAAAGTAAACAAGTAACTTTGAAATAAAAGTGGGGTTGTTTTCATTCTGATTTTAGCACGGTGGTTGGTTGACCGAACAGGCTTTTCAGGATAACTTATCTTTAACTACCAAATTTCTCATAAAGTGACTAAGTTTAACTTTGAAAATAATTGTGTAACTTTAAAATAAAAATATAACTTTAAAAGTAATAGTGTTTATCACACACCCGTGCCGATTTTGCGACTCCGTAAATATGGTATTGCACGGCCGTGCATATATTTTGACGCGACGTCATTAGCGTTATACAAACATAGTGTAAAGACGCGCTAAATGTTAACGTTATACTATAGGCGCGTCAATGTAAAATTACTCTTATTTCACTTTAAACGGTGTTTATTTTTGGTATGTGATAAATAGAATATTAAATTCGTGTAAGTTCAATACTGAATTCATTGCACTCGTTGAATAAAATAATATTATGCTCGCCACTGGCTCGCATAATATAATTTTATTCAACTCGTGCAATAAATTCAGTATTAAACTTACACTAATTTAATATCCTCTATAAACAAGTAACTTTGAAAGTTAACATGCTACTTGTAAAGTAAAAGTTTAATTTTGAAAGAAACATGTAATTTTGAAGTGAATATGTAACTTTGAAAGTAAATATGTAAATTTGAAAGTAAACATTTAACTTTGAAAATATAAGTTTAACTTTGAAGGTAAAAGTATAATTTGAAAGTAAGCAAGTAAATTTTAAAGTACATGTAAACATGTAATTGTAAATTTGAAAGTAAACATGGTTTTGTAAAAATGAAAGTGTAATTTTGATAGTAAAGTGAATTTTTTAAAGGAAAAGTGTTAACTTTGAAAGTAATGTTTAACTTTGAAAGTAAAGTGTAACTTTGAAAGTAAACATGTAACTTTGATAGTAAACATGTAACTTTGAAAGTAAAGTGTAACTTTGAAAGTAAACATGTAACTTTGATAGTAAACATGTAACTTTGAAAGTAAAGTGTAACTTTGAAAGTAAACATGTAACTTTGATAGTAAACATGTAACTTTGATAGTAAACATGTAACTTTGATAGTAAACATGTAACTTTGAAAGTAAAGTGTAACTTTGAAAGTAAACATGTAACTTTGAAAGTAAACATGTAACTTTGATAGTAAACGTGTAACTTACTTTATCACTACTCTCATTTCTCCTTGTAGGTCGCAGTAACTTCGCCTCTGTATTCTGAACCATTATTTGTGTACTTACATACTGCTGAAATACAATTATAGATGGTGTAACTTAAATATGACTATAACTTATTAAGAAGGTAGATAATTATTACTGTTACTTGTATTTTGGTTCTGTTTAGTAACTTTAAATTTATGTTACAGGTGAAGGAACATAAAATTATTACATACATCTAGAGAGTACAGCCAACCTATCTCACAATTAAGTATTCACCTTTTATAATAATCAACCTTTCAGCATTTAAAAGGGAGAAGACTGGCAGAAAACAAAACCATTTGAAAGCTATGTTGTAACAATACATCCAGACCAGCCTACACATCCATGTTTAGAGATCATGCTGTGTTTATAATTGGCTGCTCAAGTTATAATATTAAATACTGAAATCTATCAAACTACAAAATTAATGGACCAAATGGCATGTCCTTAACATTAAAAGGGACTGAACTGAGGTTTTTTGAAATGACAAAACTGGAAATATTTTCCAGAGATTTGTGTACCATTTGAAGTATGTCTGAACCCATAACTTGTGTGTCAATGTTCAGCGTTGCAATGCTTTTCACTCAAATCAGACTGAGAATTTCACTTTCTATTTTCATTTGAATTCTTAGTATATTTTTAGTTATCCTTTGCAGAATTTTCGCATTTTGAGTACTTCGCAATTAAACTTTTATGTCTTTAGGCTTTTTGACCACAGAGGAACTCCTTTAACTTAGCAGTGTTCAGGTTAAGCTCTTGACTATCTTTCATTATGATGAAAGTAATGATCTTTAAATGTAACCTCCATAAATCTCGATTAGTATTAGTAGTCTGAGGGAGGGTTCAGGTTAATACTGACATAACCTCTTTGAAGTTTAAGTTCTGACAAATGAATGTACATCTGTTGAGGGGAAGAAGGCAATATAAATCATTGAATTATTACCTCTATTTGCTCAAGAACGTCGTTGTACATTTCTATGGCCATTCTATACACATCATGGTTGGAATTGTTGTACATGATGGCGTTTGTAAACATGAGCATCATGTCTCGCTGAAACTCCGATGTTGTTCGTATTGTACCATTCTCAATATGTCGTTTAATGATCGTCAAATCTTTTGGCCTGAAATGAAAAATTATCAATGCTAAAACCCACCAAAAACAAACTTTTAACTACCTACTACATGTACTAACTTTCTTTTCAAATATGTGAAAATTTCATGCTTATGACTTCTTCTTGACAACTGGATAAAATGATTTGAAGGAAATGATGAAACTTAAATCACATAATACCATGTTAGCAAAAATAAAATGTTGCATGCAACTTTTTAGGACATTGGCAATAAAATTTTGTCACAGTAAAAGACATGGCAGAAAACTGTTTACTTGATATTATAACTCAAAGGTTCTTCTACTTGCAAACATCTTTTAAAGTTTCAAGATTTAAACATTTCATTAGTGAAGACTTGAGAATGTAAAGGTATGGAACATGTTATTTATACCTCTTAACAACAATAGAATAGCCTGGTGCTATATCATCTGTGACCGGATGAAGAAATACATTGGCATACCTGAAAAATAAACAACAATAAAAGGAATGCTGTACTCATATACTTTTTATTATTTTAAATTTTACAAGTTATTCTTATATTTTGATCTACTTTGTTACATACACTGTCATGTTAAACTCGTAAAATGGACATGTACTACTTTGAAATTCAAACTGTCCTTTGTTAATAAAAGGGGTTTGACATCATAATGCTAAAATTAAGCTGCCAATGATACTGAACCTGGTCAGACTGCACAGATGGCCTGACTGCACAGCTGGCCTGACTGCACAGGTAGTATAGTCAAGTCATAATCACTGACAGCATTATAAAGGATAGACATCTGAAACCACTTGACCACCTTCCTCCTTAAATCTGAACTTTAAAAAAAAAACACAAAAAAACATTTCTGATCAGTTTAAAACTAAGACAAGGTGAGCAACACTTACTTGTGGTTAGCAGCAGCCCTCCATACAAGCATGATAGATTTCTTCCAGGATTTGTAAGCTTTGTCGTCCTCCGTATCTGAACTATAATCATACAATGATAGCACAATTATGCACATTCAGTGCTATGAAACAGAGATATATAGAAATTTGTTGAAGTTAAAAATATATCTGAAAATATGAACTGGAACTTTTGTTCAACAATTGCTGGTAATTTGCAACAAATTATAGCTATTTGAGACTGAAGAAATTGGATAAACTTCTCTCTCCTTGTGCACCTGATTATGCATTAGTATAAACATTTTCAAGAGTGCACAAATCGAAGTTCTAAATAGAAAATATTGCGAGAAAATGGACAAATAAATAAAATCAGTCACATGCTGTGACAATGTCTTAACTTTCTTATTTGCATGTTATATCAACCAGAAAAAACCAACAACAAACAAATAACTATTATACCAGTGTGAGCTATGAGGACTATTGGGGATGGATTCTGACAGCGCCATGTTACCAGAGGTCGGAAGTGCAATACTTGAGTCACCATCATCATCTGTAGTCTCCGCATCACTCGGACGAGAACTTAAATCATCCTAGAAAACATAAATTGAAATGAGCCGCATTACAACTAAACTATTATAATGGGTTTGCGACCAGCATGGATCCAGACCAGCCTGCGCATTTGCGCACTCTGATCAGGATCCATGCTGTTCGTTTTCAGACCCTATAACAAGTAGAGAAACTGATAGCAAACAGCATGGATCCTGATTAGACTGCGCGGATGTGCAGGCTGGTCTGGATCCATGCTGGTCGCAAACGCACTATGTTGGTTTTGTCGTGACGTGGCTCAAATTATGCAATTAGTCTTCAATACATTAGTCAACAATTTCCAATAATATCACAAACTAAGTATTCGGCCAGTTGTCATCATCTTTGAACTAAAATATTAATAAGTAAGCCCTTTTTTATTAATCATTGATATTTTAAAGGCCCATTATGCCTCAGAAATGGTTTTAGTTTTATTTCTATACATTAGCATACCTGAAAAATAAACAACAATAAAAGGAATGCTGTACTCATATACTTTTTATTATTTTAAATTTTACAAGTTATTCTTATATTTTGATCTACTTTGTAACATACACCGTCATGTTAAACTCGTTAAATGGACATGTACTACTTTGAAATTTGAACTGTCCTTTGTTAATAAAAGGGGTTTGACATCATAATACTAAAATTAAGCTGCCAATGATACTGAACCTGGTCAGACTGCACAGATGGCCTGACTGCACAGCTGGCCTGACTGCACAGGTAGTATAGTCAAGTCATAATCACTGACAGCATTATAAAGGATAGACATCTGAAACAACTTGACCACCTTCCTCCTTAAATCTGAACTTTAAAAAAAAAAACACAAAAAAACATTTCTGATCAGTTTAAAACTAAGACAAGGTGAGCAACACTTACTTGTGGTTAGCAGCAGCCCTCCATACAAGCATGATAGATTTCTTCCAGGATTTGTAAGCTTTGTCGTCCTCCGTATCTGAACTATAATCATACAATGATAGCACAATTATGCACATTCAGTGCTATGAAACAGAGATATATAGAAATTTGTTGAAGTTAAAAATATATCTGAAAATATGAACTGGAACTTTAGTTCAACAATTGCTGGTAATTTGCAACAAATTATAGCTATTTGAGACTGAATAAATTGGATAAACCTCTCTCTCCTTGTCCACCTGATTATATAATGCATTAGTATGAACATTTACAAGAATGTACAAATCTATGTTCTAAATAGAAAATATTGCGAGAAAATGGACAAATAAATAAAATCAGTGACATGCTGTGACAGTGTTTTAAACTTTCTAATTTGCATTTATCATAATATCAAACAGAAAAAAACAACAACAAACAAATAACTATTATACCAGTGTGAGCTATGAGGACTATTGGGGATGGATTCTGACAGCGCCATGTTACCAGAGGTCGGAAGTGCAATACTTGAGTCACCATCATCATCTGTAGTCTCCGCATCACTCGGACGAGAACTTAAATCATCCTAGAGAACATAAATTGAAATGAGCCGCATTACAACAATACCAACATTATAGGTTTGCAACCAGCATGGATCCAGACCAGCCTGCGCATCCGCGCAGTCTGATCAGGATCCATACTGTTCGCTTACAGACCCTATAACAAGTAGAGAAACTGATAGCGAACAGCATGGATCCTGATCAGACTATGGGATGTAAGGCTGGTCTGGATCCATGCTGGTCGCAAACGCTCTATGTTGGTTTTGTAGTGACGCGGCTCAAATTATGAAATAATTCTTCAATACATTAATCAACAATTTCCAATAATATCACAAACTAAGTATTCAGCCAGTTATCATCATCTTTTAACTAAAATATTAATAAGTAAGCCCTTTTTTATTAATCATTGATATTTTAAAGGCCCATTATGCCTCAGAAATGGTTTTATTTTTATTTCTCTAAAAAGCTTTTATTACTCATGTCCTGTTATAGTTTCTAATATAAATTACATATATATAGAAATTGCTTGTAAAAAAAGTTTTCTATCTCCTTTGGATGGTTTTATTATCAAATCAATAGATTTTATATTCTCCCCAATTCACTTTATTTCCACTTCACTTTATAAATTTATATTTCAAGTGTGTCTATGGGTTTATTAACAAAATAACATTTAAAGGAAACATTTAGTTAAAAAGACATACAGTGTTGGATCTCCTAGCAGATCTTATACTACTTCTCCTGGCTCCAGATGACCCTCGACCTCCTAAATCAACACAGTAATACAAGAAAATCATTATTTACTGGAAATAAATATATTAGTTTCAAGTTTAATTATGTTTCCTTTTTCTCTTTTTAAAAAAAAAATATTTAAATCTACTCACAAATGAATGTATTTATAATGATTAATATGTTGACTGTCATGCTCTGAACATTAATCTTGTTGAATCAAGTTCACATAAAGAATTCTAAAATCATTCACAGAATTCAAACCCAGACAAGAGGGGGAACACATAATTTTAAATCTATATAGCCACATAACCTGGGTTGATATTTGATTAATATAAAATGAACTTCATAATAATAATACATAAAACATCTTAACATAAACTTGCCTTTAGATCTACGTGAGCTTGATTTACTGCCAGCCTCACTAACACGTGAAGATATACTACTGGCTGGTGAAGGGGGATCGTCTTTCACTAACACCTCGTCTTTAACATAACTTGTTGTTGTCACAGTCTCCTCTACTTCTGGTACTTCCTCTATCACTGCCTGTAAAATCATTCATTCATTCATACAGCATTATAATCTTTAAATATTTTTCTGTTTTCATTAAAACATGAATTAGAGTTCAAAAATAAGAAATATGCAAAGTAAAACTGAACTCGGTGAGCAATTTCTAGCTGTATAATATGTTGAAGTTTAAATTTTTTTTTTTTTAATACCTAAAAGTTTGCTTTTATTAAACTCTAGAAATGGGATTATCAGTGATTAATATATGAGCTAGTGACTGGATATAAATAATCATATATTTGTTTATTTGTTTTTGGGTTTTACGTCACATCGACACAGTATAGGTCATATCGCGACGTTCCAGCTTTACTGGTGGAGGAAGACCTCAGGTGCCCCTCCGTGCATAAGTTCAGGCACGAATGGGCACCTGAGTAGAACCACCGACGTTCCGTTAGCTAGCTGGATAGCTTCTTCACATGAAAGAATCCAAAGTCACCGTCGGGATTCGAACCCACAGCGGTGAGGGGCAAGTGGTTTGAAGTCAACGACCTTAATCATATATGTTAAGCAGTAAGTTTTTTTATCTTATAAAGAACCTACCTTTATATTAGTAACTAAATAATAGATACGTATATTTTATAATTTCTGAAATATCAATGATCAGACTTACTGCCTCTTGTTTAGGTTGTTGTGTTTTAACAGGACTCTCATGTGTCGTGACTTCTATAGTTTCCTCGACAACCATATCGTGACACTCCACTATTTCTTCCTTCACATCCATACTCTCCACTTCTATCACTGAAATAGATTACAAAATAGATCACAAATTGTTTGAAACGATTATATTAGCACCTAGTCTGCTTGTATGTAAAAGTGATTTGCCATTGCAAACAATATTGAGCCAAGCAAGCCTGAACTTCCATGCATCCAGACCAGGCACTTTACTTAGGGTATCTCAATTTTTGTGTTTTGTTATTGAAATCCATTTAAATTTGAATGGACTATTCCAAATTCAAAGCAGGGTGAATCTATTATTATAATTCAGGAGGTTAAAGGTTAATGAATACCTTATTTTCAGAGGTTTCATTTTGACCTGGAAGCAGGTTTATTTCTTTGAGAAAAAGAAAAAAATAACTTTTTGGAGAAAAGAAAACAAATTTTGACAAGGTGAAATTAAAGCATTGTACAATACCTTGATCTGTTGATTCAACATCTACTTCAGTTTTAACATCAGCTATTATCTCAACCTCATTCTCAACTTTGATATGTGCTTCCATAGCAACTTCTTCTATATTTGGCTGTTCTTCTGTTACTAAATATAAATCAAAACATAACTTGATCAATATATTATATATAATAACAGGTAGCTGAAATGTTCAAAAGATGAGACTTTTCCATCTTAAAAATCTAAACAATTACAACTGAAATATAACCCAGTTGTAAACTCTTTGTTTAAGAAACTGAAGCATTTTTTATGTGAAAGAATTGTTAAGTTTTTATTCTTTTCATTATTTTTCCTTTCTTTTTTCATGAATTTTGCAGGGCAGGCATAAAATGGTTGTGTTATGATGGGTAAACAAAATGTCTCGAAATGTATATATACTGTAATTTAAACTTCAGAGTAAGTAATGAATAAATATGAAACACAGATAAATAATGTATGAGAAAGTGCAAAATCACAAAAAAGGAATTGTTTACAGCCAAGTACAAATTGTGTATCACTTGAACTATTATTCTAATACCTGGTGTGGTTTGAACAGTCTCGGTTGTAGCTTGTTCTATTTGTTGATTGGTTAATTGTTGGAGAGCTTCTGCCTGATTAGCTGCCTTCAAAGCATGGTTAGCCTCTGCTTCCTTTATAAACAAACAACAATAAAAATGTTAAGGTTTTAGCTCATCCCAAAGATATGACCATTTATTTTTCTACGTGATGCATATTATGGTCTCATTGGCCTCCCGTGCAACAAAATAGTGTCATCACAAAAAATCGACTTGCATACATATTTAGTATCATTCAGTGAATTACTGAATTCAAAATTTATAGGTCACCTTTTGGTTGATAATACAGTCTAACTTGCCCATGCGACCACGTGTATTAAGCGACTTTTGTCTTAAACGACCACTTTAAATTCCCCCCGATCATTTTCTCTCTATATCTTTAATGTATTAAGCGACTTTTGCTCAACGCGACCAGCGACCGCTAATTAGTCTCCTTATTGACATCAATCTTTTCATTAAACGACCACTTTTACCTGTCAAGTAATTGTGTTTTTAGAGAACGCCACCTCGTTATGTCACAAGTGTCAGCAATCAAAACACAACAATAAACGTGTGAAAAACTCTATTTCCCATACCGTTTTAGCGTATGCAAATGAAGTTAAGTATACGCGTGACGTGTATTATCCAATAATATCGGATAAACAATGCAACGCTCCGCCCATACTGAGATGGTGTATACGCTTCGCTTGTTGACATTTAGACTGCATTGAATTGACCTTGAACTTGATCAGCCATTAAATAAATCGTAACAAATAGATGTAGTTTGTTTATTTCAAATGAAAAATGCACAGCAGAAAACATCTTCACTAATAGGGTTTTCGTGATGGAGACAAGGAAAAACAACGGAGAAGTTAAAAAATTCTGGAAAAAATGTCAAACATGTACGTAATGGATCAAAACTGTTTTGTCAATAAATATCAGAACGTTATTTTTACATTTGCATCCGTTTAGATTATCGAAGCGTACTTATTATTCAACATTTATATAAAAATGAAGTTGAAAAACAATCCCATCGAATAAAAAAGATGTCATTTATAAATGTTGACTTTTATATCATGCTGACTGTCTTAAGAGACCGTTTCATTAAGCGACCGTTTTTGGTGTTTCCCTTGCCCGGTCGCTTAATACACGTTTGACTGTAACATTTGAGGACATGAATGGTGACATGTCCAGGGTCCGAACTCTCAGTGTCTGACAGGGTGGATGGAAACTTCATTAAATAAGTTTGAAAGTGAAAATTATATGTCACTTCACATTCTATTTTAGTCCGTCCCTTTGTTTCTGTCACTTTCCATTTTGTAATGACAAAAGATTTCATGTCATAGCACAAATGAATTATTTCTACAAAGCCCTTCCATACTTACAGCTTTAATTTGTTGGAGACTATCTACAGAGCACTATACTCTGTAGTACAGAAGACAATAGTGTGTCATATCAATAATGAATTATTTCAGCAAAGCCCTTCCATACTTACTGCTTTAATTTGTTGGAGACTATCTACAGAGCACTATACTCTGTAGTACAGAAGACAATAGTGTGTCATATCAATAATGAATTATTTCAGCAAAGCCCTTCCATACTTACTGCTTTAATTTGTTGGAGACTATCTACAGAGCACTATACTCTGTAGTAAGGAAGACAATAGTGTGTCATATCAATAATGAATTATTTCAGCAAAGCCCTTCCATACTTACAGCTTTTATTTGTTGGAGACTATCTACAGAGGAATGTTTACTCTGTAATAAGGAAGACAGCAGTGGTGAAGTGGGCGGAGCTGGTTTTGTATCAACTGGCACTGATTGTGGAATCTCAATTGTGATTGGCTGAATCATGGTGGGCGTGGTCGGAAACTCATCATCTGTCGTCTGCAAATATGTATTTTTTCAAAGAAAACGTTATACATGATATTGAATATTCTTTGAACATAGAGTGACCATATGCTATTTATTTTTGTTGACAAAACACTCATTTTAAAGTTAAGTTTAATTTTAGGACAAAGCCCTTTGTGTTAACACATTCAGTACTTAAAAGATACAAACATTTGTTTTCCAATAAAGGTTAAGTAAATTTTGAGTCTTATTTCTAACACTTTTTAAGTGAAAAACATAGACTTCCCCTGGTTTATTTCAGTTTTAAAACATAGTTACCTCCCCTGGCTCATTTCAGTTTTAAGTGAAAAGATAAAGTTACCTCCCCTAGCTCAAATAACATCACTATGATGGATGTGCAGACTGGCATGGTTCTATGCTGGTAGTAAAGGTGTATAATTATCAGTACCAACAGGGTAAGAGTTATGGCTATTTCAGTATAGTGGTATTTCATTTTGGTGCATAGTATTATACATGTATTGCATCATGTGGGTTTGAATTTTGATAGTTTAGTCACACTGGGCTTCACTTTCTGTTTATTATAACTTACATACAAAATGGACAACGAAAACATACATAAAATCTTTACAATTAAACATTGCTGCACTCTATACAGACATGTAATAATTGTTTTACCTCCACATTTAGGGTATCTGGCATGGAATCCTGTGTACTCTCGTCCATCTCAGACACAGAACTTACTGTACTTGGAGTTCGATGTATACCACTGCTGCTCATCTTACGTAATGCTGCAAAATGTAAAATAAAATCATTTCATCTTATATGAAAGTGACATCATTCACAACTTTCAAGATTAATGCATTGTAACCATAGCAACCATATTTCTTGAATAAATTTTAAAAAAGGCACATCATCTCAATTAGCTCTCCGATCTATACAAATGTGCCAAATTTCATCAACCTAGCATCAGTATACAAGGTTCTAGTAGCAACTCAGATATATTCTTTTTTAACTATTTTCATTACCATAGGAAACACATTTTTGTGTGATGGGAACTATACTTCATCAACCTAGCAAAAAAACACTTTAAGAGTTATCACAGGATCCCACCTATGTTCCCTTTCCATTTACCATTTAGGTACCATTGTTTTTACCTTTTAGGTAACCATTGTTTTTACATTTTAGGTAACCATTGTTTTACCATTTAGGTATCCATAAGCCAATGAAAAAAATAAATTGACAAACATTATCTCCATATTGTCCTCTATCAACATACTAAATAACCATGTATCATCAACCTAGCTTTTGTACTTTTTGAGTTATGGCAGGATCCAGATTTGTTCAGTTTTTATTGGTTTTTACCATTCCTGTAACCATATTCACTCCATGAATTCAAACATATGTTACTGTACTTTATTCAATACATGTTTATACCGACCTTGAGCTTTAGCTCTCTCAGCAATCTCCTCTGCAAGTTTCTGTTCCTCTTCCTTTTTTTTCTCCTCTGCTGCTTTCTTCTCTCTAAAATATATAACAATCTTCCCTCTAAAAACAAAACAACCTTCTCTCTAAAAACATAACAATCTTCTCTCTAAAAACATAACAATCTTCTCTCTAAAAACATAACAATCTTCTCTCTAACAACATAACAATCTTCTCCCTAAAAACATAACAAACTTCTCCCTTAAAACATAACAATCTTCTCTCTAAAAACATAACAATCTTCTTAGAACTTCCCCAGGCCGATTTAGCGCCCAGGTGCTGGGGCGCTGGTTTTCCCATTTACAGATCACCGGGGCGCTTGGATTGGGCTTGCATGTTGATCTTAGGGTTTGTAGTTTTAACAAGGTGACCTCTACTTAATTAGGAATTTCACTAAGTCTGCAGACTTTTGTTATTGTAGATCACAAGTAGCTCTTTAGCATAAAATGGTTTATAATTGACTGTGACTTGAAATAAAATTTCTTGTATCTTTTACAACACAGAGGACCTTTAGTAAATCATAGCCTTGAGACTAAGAACTGCAACAGATTTTCAAGAGATCACATTTACATAATAAACATTTTTCCAGTCAAAAATAATATTTAATAATGATTATTACATAAACTTACGCTTGCAAGGTTTCCCACATTTCATTAATCTTGCCATCACATTTACCAAGTCTGATGGCTTCTACCTCTTTCTTTAGTTTCCTGCAATCAATACATATGTACATTTTATAGGAAACTATCTATCTGTTGATATTATAAAGATAAACAAAACAACAAAAGCTGTATTGTCTTACTGCATTTTTTTAAATCACTTGGCCAATGACCATATTTATACTTTTTTTTAAAAACTATCATTTTATTTCTAATTTACGATTTAGGTCATTAAATCAATACTGAAGCGCGTTTACTTGTATCTTTGCTGTTCATCCTGAATAACAACTTTGAGTTCCTCTATACGCTCTATTGTCAGCTTACGTACAATCTGATTGGCTGGGGTTTCCACGACCTCTCGTTCACCCTTCTCTCCACGCTTTCGCCTAAAAACGAAAATTTCATAATGGTTTTAAAAATAAATTTGAGCCGCGCCATGGCAAAACCAACATAATGGGTTTGCGACCAGCATGGATCCAGACCAGCCTGCGCATCCATGCAGTCTGATCAGGATCCATGCTGTTCGCTTACAGACCCTATAACAAGTAAAGAAACTGATAGCGAACAGCATGGATCCTGATCAGTCTGCGCGGATGCGCAGGCTGGTCTGAATCCATGCTGGTCGCAAACGCATTACGTTGGTTTTGTCGTGACGCGGCTCATTTTACTCGTCATCATTCTTAATTTCTCTAACTTTACTTTGCCAGGAATATTTCTTTTTCAATATTAAGCTTGGCCAGGATTGAAATGGATGAATAAAATAATTTAAGGATCCATTAATCTTTTTTCCCTATATTAAAACTTTTTTCAGATTGTTTTTTTGAATACTGAATAAAACATAAAAGAGAATTACAAATGTCTTTATCAAAATGTTAACTCAAATGCATGCTTTTATAGGAAGTACAATATAACAAAACAGTATCGGTCATATGGCAAATTTCAGCTTAACTGGTGGATGAAGACCTCAGGTGTTCTTCCATGCATTATTTCAGGCATAATCAGGCACCTGAGTAGAACCACCAATGTTCCGTCGGCTAGCTGGAAAGCTTGCTCACATGAAATACACATGTAATCCAAAGTCCCTGTTGGGATTTGAACCCACAGCAGTGAGGGGCAAATGGTTTGAAGTCAAACACCTTAACCACTCAGCAGAGACTATTGAATGTTACAAATAAGTTCAATGTTTCATATTCATAGGAAAATATAAGCCAGACCAATTTCCCCTATAAAGTTATATAACAGCAGTTCCTATCTCATTTCATATGTGGCTTCAATTATTTCAAAATTCCCAAAAGAGACGATGTGCAACTTATTTTCCCCAATTCCATTGATCTGTTGGTAGTCTAGTGATTTCTTTTAGTAGTGTGTCCCTTTTGGTTAAGATAATCAAATAGCAAGTACTATTACAGGGAAACAAAAACAATACTATCATTACCCTCACTTCTGATGAAAATAGAAAAAAAAAACATATTATATTCTTTAATTATCAAGAACTACAGAAAAACTTGAGTTTCAGGTAGAATTGTTTAATTCATGCATGCATTAATATATATTTTTGAAAGGGAAATTTTGTCAGAGATAGGGAATGGCCTAAATTAAATCTGTTGACCAAGAATGTTAAAAAAAGCCTTCAGGCAATAGCCATATTTTACCGAATAATTATGAATAATTGAGTAAATGATCTGCTGCAATAAGTATGATAGTAATGGTGTTTTGTTTTTTTTAAAATACAGTGAACACCCAGCAAAACATGATTTCTGCTAAACTGAAATCCTCAGTTAACCAAAAAACTTACTTTGGAGTTTCTGCTTTTTCCAATAGATCTGCATACTGTAAGGCACAATTCTGAAATGAAATGTTTTATCATATTAACTGATGATAATATCATCTTAAATCTATATAGAATCTTAAAAGCATCATTTAGAAAAAGGTTTTAAAGAACCAATAAGTGACATTTGTGATCTGTTTGATTAAAATCAAATGAGTAATATAGGAGAACATTGTACTTGCGTCTTTCTCCAAATATTAAGAAGAAATAACAAGAGGGCCATGATGGCCCTGAAGTCGCTCACCTGTATATAGGCCCCAAGGGCGGGGCCAGTTTTAACCCCAGGGCTTTTATTTGAACAAACTAGGTAGACACCCATTAGAAGATATTTCACGCTAAACATCTAAGGACTAGCTCGTTGAGTTTTTAAAAAAAATTTTTTTAAGTTTTAACTATACACATATAGTTAAAAGCAATGACACCCCCAGGGCGGGGCCAGTTTTGACCCAAGGGCTTTTATTTGAACAAACTTTGGAGACACTCACTAGAAGATGTTTCATGCTTGATATCTAAACTCTAGCTATTTGGGTTTTTACAAAGAAGATTTTTGCTATACACATAAATAAAATTAATGGCCCCCAGGGCAGGGCCAATTTTGACCCAAGGGCTTTTATTTGAAAAAACTTTGTAGACACTCACTAGAAGATGTTTCATGCTTAGTATCTAAACTCTAGCTATTTGGTTTTTTTCAAAGAATTTTTAAATGAAACACATATATTGAAAATCAATTACCCCCGGGGCGGAGCCAATTTTGACCCGAGGGCTCTTATTTGAACAAATTTGGTAGACACCCATTAGAACATGGTTCATGCTAAATATCTTAGCTCTGGCTCTTTGGGTTCTTTAAAAGAAAATTTTATAAGTTTTTACTATATGCATATAGGGAAAATCAATGACCCCCTGGGGCAGGGCCAATTTTGACCCCAGGGCTTTTATTTGAACAAACTTGATAGACACCTATTAGAAGATGTTTTATGCCAAATATCTAAGCTCTACCTCTTTGGGTTCTTTAAAAGAAGATTTTATAAGTTTTTACTATATGCATATAGGGAAAATCAATGACCCCCTGGGGCAAACCAATTTTGACCCCAGGGCTTTTATTTGAACAAACTTGATAGACACTCACTAGAAGATGTTTTATGCCAAATATCTAAGCTCTACCTCTTTGGGTTCTTTAAAAGAAAATTTTATAAGTTTTTACTATATGCATGTAGGGAAAATCAATGACCCCCTGGGACGGGGCCAATTTTGACCCAAGGGCTTTTATTTGAACAAACTTGATAGACACCTATTAGAAGATGTTTCATGCTAAATATCTTAGCTCTAGCTCTTTGAGTTCTTTAAAAGAAGATTTTATAAGTTTTTACTATATGCATATAGGGAAAATCAATGACCCCCTGGGGCGGGGCCAATTTTGACCCCAGGGCTTTTATTTGAACAAACTTGATAGACACTCACTAGAAGATGTTTTATGCCAAATATCTAAGCTCTACCTCTTTGGGTTCTTTAAAAGAAGATATTTTAAGTTTTTTCTATCGGTTGCCATGGCAACCAGAGTTCTGCATGGAATTAAATTCTTTGAACAATTTTTAAAGGTGACCACCAAAGGAACATTCCTGTGAAGTTTGGATGAAATTGGCTCAGCCGTTTATGAGGAGATGTCATTTAAAGTAAAAGTTTACAGACGGACGACGGACGGCCGGACGCCGGACGAAAAGCGATCACAAAAGCTCACCCTGTCACTTTGTGACAGGTGAGCTAAAAACAAGAGGGCTATCTTTACCATGGATGACCAATATTTGTACTTGAGCTAAATAATCTGACCAATTTACAGGATATTTGAACTGGAACAGTACCCCCTAGAGTGTTAGCAAGGTGTTTCCATATTTGGGCTGGGTGACCTAGTTTTTGACCCCCGAAGACTAATGTTCAACTTGCTCTAGAAATAAACAAAACAATTTATCTGACAAATTTTCAGGATATTAGCGCTAAAAGTAATCCTCTAGAGTGTTAACAAAGTTTTTTTCTATATTTCAACTCTGTGACCTAGTTTTTGACCCCAGATGACCTATATTTCAACTTGAGCTAAATCATCTAAACAACCTTTCTGACCAATTTCCAAGACATTTGGACCAGAACAGTACCTTCTAGAGTGTTAACAAGGTTTTTCCAATATTTGGGATTAGTGACCTAGTTTTTTTACTGCAGGTGACCCATATTCGAACTTGAACTAGAATTCATCTAAACAACCTTTCTGATGAATGTTTAGACTGATTCAGTAGCCCGTAGAGTGTTAACAAGCTTTTTCCATACTAGTCTTGGGCTGTAATCTAGTTTTTGAACCCAGGTGACCCAAGTTCTAACTTGAGCTAAAAATTCACCGAAACAAACATTCCCAGAATAAAGGCACTAGAGTGTTAACAAGATTATACTATTTTTTGGCTCCTGTGACAGAGTTTTTTATCTATGATGACCTATGATTGAACTTTTTCAAACAATTACTTTGACAAACATCCTGACTAAGTTTGGTGACAACTGAGGCAAAAATGAAATGTGACTACTAGATCGCTAACAAAACTAAATGTGGCTGGACAACGGACATACAATGATCCACAAAGCTCACCCTGAGCCAAAAAACAAAGGGTTTTCCTATCACAATAATTCACAGAATCACAGAAAATATAAACCAAGACATTGGATGCAGGCCTGGTTGAAGTCTCACATTTTTGTTTGTTTTGTTGAATATAAGTCGAACAGACACTTTACAGCCACTTTCTACCTTTGCTGATGGAGAAAAGTTAAAACATGATTTCAGGCACAAGTGGGCACCTCAGTAAAACCACTGACCTTCACTAGGCTAGCTGTAATGGAGGAATTTTCCACAAAAAAGTTGTTAATAAATGTTATTTTACCTTCTGAGAAAACCAGTCTGGGGGTCGGACAGATTCTATAAAAGGTTTTATTGCTCTGCTGACAGATACCCTGAAAAAAATATGAACAATGTACTTCAACAGATGGAAACATAATTAAACGGCTTCACATACAAAATCATACCAGTATTATCTAATATAGTAAAAGCAAGAAAATAATGCCATGTCATGTTGAAGCAACAGTTATAAAAGAACATAGATGTTTACAACATGTATAAGGCTTATTGTTTACACATTGGCAACTTGCAAATTTATGCAAATTTGTTACATTAATGAAAAAACAAATGTGTAATTTGACAGTATGAAGCTTAATTACAAACATTTATATCATGAATTAGAAGACCTGTTTGGTGATTTAACAAACAAATAAAAAAATGTTGATCTTAAAGTATTCAAAAAAATTATAAGCTAAGAGTAAACAACCTACCAGTTTTGGTCTCCACTTTTCTTTACAGAGGAGGCTAATGAAAGGCGTTCACGTGTTGACCATTTATCTAAAGGCCGCTTTGGCAATCTATATCCTATAATAAAACAAGAGCGATCAGTGATCACATGTTTTGCCTTATCATTGCAAAAAGCCAATGTTTCAACTACTGTGTAGCAGACGACACAAAATTCATTAACAGCGCACAACATGTTTTTCATTAAAGGGTCATAACTTAGCCCAAAATCATTCAACAGACAACAGAGAAATGATCCCTTTATGTTGCCATTACTTTGTAAAGGCCACACATAAACTATGTGTAGCAACATGGTTGTGCATTTACAGCATATTAAAGAAAGTAGACTCAGCAGAAACTTTGATTAAATTCAAATCTCTAGCTACTGCACTAGGTACTACATTGTTGGCTTCAGTTCCTGTTACCAGCATCAATATTAAATATACCATATAATCTTAAAGGGACTCCACTCAGGTTTTTTGACATGACGGGACTGGAAATGATTTTTTGAGATTATTACTCCATTTGATGTAGATCTATACTAATAACTTATGTGCAAAATTTCAGATCATTAGCGTGCTCCGTTTTTCCAGACTAATAATTATAATAGTGAACAAGAGCTGTCACAGGAGACAGCGAAGCTCGACTAATAAAATACTGGACACAGTAAGGAGGACAAAACTATGAAAGAAAAATCAATTATGTATAATTATGTATTAAGTTATGGTAAAAAAATAACATTGTTAACATAAATTCCAAGATCAAGGGGAATAATTCTAGAAATAGTCATGCTAGAGTTATGGACCTTGCCACACAACATTTGTGTAATGATAAGAAATATATATTTGAAGTTTGAAGTAGATACCTTAAAAAATAAAGAAGTTATTGTATTTCTTAAAGAAAATCCTAAGTTCAAAGAGAGATAAATCTGTAAATATTGCTTCAAGAGTTATGAACATTGTCACATAAAATGTAATTGATGATAAGGAATAAGTATTTGAAGTTTGAGGTAGATACCTTTAAAAATAAAAAAGTTAAAATAAAAAATAACATTTTTCTAGTAAATTAATCTAAGTTTATGGGGAGATAATTCTTGCAATATTGATGCTAGAGTTATGAACCTTGTCACATAAGATGTGGATGATGATAACGTAAATATATTTGAAGTATGAAGTTGATCCCTTTAGAAATAAATAAGTTAGAGTAAAAAATAATATTTTGTATGGAAAAATTTTAAGTTCAAAGGGAGATAAATCTGAAAATATTGGTGCTAGAGTTATGAACCTTGTCACATAAGATGGGGATGATGATAACGTAAATATATTTGAAGTATGAGGTTGATCCCTTAAGAAATAAAGAAGAAATAGTATTTTTTGAGGAAAATTCTAAGTTCAAGGGGAGATAAATCTGAAAATATTGGTGCTAGAGTTATGAACCTTGTCACATTAGATGGGGATGATGATAAGGTACATATATTTGAAGTATGAGGTTGATCCCTTAAGAAATAAAGAAGTATCAGTAAAAAATAGTATTTTTTAAGGAAAATTCTAAGTTCAAGGGGAGATAAATCTGAAAATATTGGTGCTAGAGTTATGAACCTTGTCACATAAGATGTGGTTGATGATAAGGAACATATATTTGAAGTTTGAAGTTGATACCTTAAGAAATGACAAAGTTATAGTGAAAAATATTTTACTGCACCAAAACTTTAATCTAAAATCTGGACGCGGACGCCGACGCCGGGGCGAGTAGGACAGCTCTCCATATACTTCGTATAGTCGAGCTAAAAATGACACAAAATTGAAAAGCGTTTAAATGCTTTTCACTCAAAGTCAAATCGAACTGAGAATAGCACAACATATGATTTTCAAATTATTTCTTGTATATTTCTTGGTTATATTTTATTAATATTTCTGTTTCAAGTGCTCATGTTTATCTATGTGAAAAATTAAAATTTTATGTTTTTAGGCTTATAAACCTCAGTGGAGTTCCTTTAATTCTTTCTTTTAAATGACCTGTCCGAAAACCTAGCTAAATACTGTGTTCTAGTACATGTATGTAACAGATTTAGCTTTGGGGAATTACAGCTATTGAAGTACACAGCATTATTACTTAATACATGTATTTCCAAATTTTTATAATTATTTTTCCATATTCCATTTGAAAAACTTGATCTGTTAGAAAATTATCAATGTTTTTATAATATTATCTATAACAAAATAAATTGTTTATAATGACAAGAGCGATCAGTGATCACATGATGTGTAGCCTGATGATAGCCAATTGCTACTATGTTGCAGGAGACAAAATCATCATCAGGCCAAAATGTGTTTTTTATTCAAGGGCCAAAATTCAGCAATACTTAGTAAACCTAAAATAACTTTAATGTGCACAAGAACATCAGGTACTGATCAATCTTGTAAAAGTTCATTCAAATTGCATAAGTGGTATATTAAAAGAGGAGCCATGGCTTTTTTCCCCTTCTATTGCAGGGGCCGTTATAAGGCTGCTTCCCCAAAGAATAATTCTTCAAAATCATGCAGTTTTCCCCAAAAATTGAATTTACATCAAGTTTTTTCTTCCCCTTTTGCAAATATAACATGTAATTTTTCACTAAAATTAAGGGCAGGGCTGCTTCCCCAACCTGTAAAAAAAGCCCTGGGACAGTCTGGAAAATCTTTAAAAATAACAATCATTACAGAGACATCACTCTGACAAAAACCACTGAACCGTAAAATACCCAGTATAGGCACAACTAGACATGATACTGATTATTCCTATAAAGTTTGGATGAAATTGCACCAGTAGTTTCTGAGGAATAGTTCAGACAAGTTTTGTGACCAGTGTGTATTTACATAAATTTGCTTGCGTCAAATTATTTAGACAATAATATTCAACTGAGCCATTTCATTTCAATTGTTTACATTTTAACTGTTTGATAAAACAAGAGCTGTCACCCAAGTGACGAATGCCCCCGAAAAGGTTTCTTAAGCATGCAGGAATTATGAAAAGAAAAGGGAATGAAAGTAACTAATTGCTTAATATTGTTCTTTGTATTATTGTACCTGTAATCTCTAATTGTGATAGCCTGAACCTTCAAAATATAAGTGTGACCTTAACCTTAAGAAGGGACATGATTCCTGGACGCGACAGAATGTTGTTATGAGATAAGACATTTGTGCAAAGTTATTTCAAAATCCCTCAATGCATTCATGACTAAGTTACAGTCTGGACATGATTGTTGTGTAAGTGGGGACACACAAAGGGACCGACAGACATGAGCCTTAGCCGCGACACATTGTCTTGATATGGTACACATTTGTGCCAAGTTATTTTAAAATCCTTCCATGCATGACAAATTTACAGTCCGGACATGAATGTGTATCTTCAAACTCTTATCAAGAGAATGAGTACCTTCAAACTATAAGTGTGACCTTGACCTTGAAGGTAGGGTCATGGGTCTTAGTTGCAACATGTCGTCTTGATGTGGTAGACATTTATGCCTAGTCATTTTAAAATCCCTTGATGCATGACAAAGTTACAGTCCAGACACGAATTTGTGTACCTATAAACTCTAATTGTGATATTAAAAGTGAACTTGAGCTTTGAGGTTGATACGTGATTGTTGGATACGACACATCGTCTTGATGTTGTAGACATTTATGCCAAGTTATTCTAAAATCCTTCGATGTATGACAAAGTTACAGTCCGGACACGATTGTGTGTACCTATAAACTTGTGAAAATGTGAAATTTTAAAATGTTAGTGTGACCTTGACTTTTGAGGTAGGGACGTAATTCTTGGACGCTACACATCGTCTTGATGTGGTAGACATTTATGCCTAGTTATCTTAAAATTTTTTGATGCATGACAAAGTTACAGACACGAAGTGTGTGTACCATTTTACTCTTTTTGTGATAATTAATGTGAAACTTCAAAATGATAGTGAGACCTTGACCTTAGAGGTAGGGACGTGATTCTTGGACACAACACATCGTCTTGATGAGGTAGACATTTGTGCCAAGTTATTTTAAAATCCCTCAATGTATGTCAAAGTTACAGTGCGGACACCAATGAAGTGGGGACACACAGATGGACAGACAAATGGACAAATGGTGTGATTTTAATATGCCTCCCTTCGGGGGCATAAAAAAAAGGACAAAAATATTTTTCACTATTGCACACCATTTATGTCAATCCACTTGAGCTCATATTTTGAATGTACAAGAAAAACATGTTTTGCTAGGTTACTAAATTTGTGAATATGGATGGAATATGGGAATATCAGTGATCAGGGGAGATAATTCACCTAAACAGCTAGTCACATTGTTTCCTGTGACACTTACAGAGTAAAAAGGCAACCTGAAGATCAATATAAACATCATAACACTTATGCAATTACATATGAACCAGACATTCTGTCAGAATATTCATTATTTGGGTGAGGGAAGACAAAAAAATTTAAAAAATTGAATTTTCTTTAGAAAATGCACGTATTCGATTTAAATATTAAAAGAACATGAACAGAACACGATGCAAATATAACTTTTCAAACAATTTATGTAAGAAAAACAACAACAAACGTTAAAGAAAACGTAGAACCAGGGACAAAATAAGAAAACATAAAATTATTAACTTCTTACCTGCGGGCGCAGCCATTGTTGTTGTTGTTTTAAAGATTCGATAAATTCCGTTCCCCGAATATCCGGAACATTTTATTATTCCAGCCCCCCCTCCCCCCCCCCCCCCACCACACACACACACACCCACCGCAGCCCTATATCCAGAAATAGAAATGAATGGTATATACATAGTGATGTAAGACAACGGCAAAAAGATGTATGTTAAAATAATTTCAACATTGAATATCAATTCATTGTAAATAATATTCACAGAAACATTTTTAATCGCATCGATTTATTCAGGGAATAGACATAATTATACACATACAATTTTATCACAGAAATCAACTTGCATATATATAAAAACACACAAATAAATGCACAAAAATAATTATAAGATTAATTAATAAGTATGTTCTATGTAACCCTAGGATTGCCCATTAAGCTAAAAGCTTATTTCCAATGGGGTCCATTTTCTGTAAAATTATTACACTAACTTACATAATAATAAATGAGTTATAAAGAAGTTAAAATTAATGACAATTTTCAATAATCAAGACACATTTTTCAATATAATAAGACAAGTACATTGTACACAAACAAAATGAAATAAATTTCGTTTAAACTAAAACATAGTAAGTACACATAAACATGTTTCAAAACCTTATCATAAGTTACACATCAATTTAATAATAAATAAACATATTATTCACTTGTTTATCATTTTCATTACTTAAAAAAAGTTTTACTTTCGTTTTAAATGTTTGGATATTGTCAATTGATCTAATGTTGTCTGGTAAAGAATTCCAATCTTTAATGGCATTGTAGAAAAATGTATTTTTAACATAAGAATCATTTTGAGGTAAAACAAAATTAAAATTACTGGATCTTAAATTGGATATTCTACAAACCTTAAACAATTCCTTTAAATAAGAAGGACTTTTGTTGTAAAAAACTTTATGAATGTGGTTGAGTCTTAACTGTCTAACTCTATCATTGACATTTAATAATTTAAGATCGGACAGAACCTTATTTGTCACTGAAGTCCTAGGAGTGTAGTCTTTTATAAAGCGCACAACCTTATTTTGAGCTACTTGAAGTTTGTGCTTCAGTGACTTACTCAGTCCTTGGTACCAAGAAGATGAAGAATAATCAAAGTGACACAGCAAAAGGGCAGGACATAACTGTTTCTTTATTTCTTCCGATAAACAATTTTTGTAACGGTATAGAAAATGTAATCTTCCATTCACCTTTGAAAGAATGCCCTTGACAATTTTATCTCCTGATAGGTAACAATCGATATTCAAACCAAGATATTTAACTTCAGACGAAGACTTTATTGTTTGATCATTACATGAAATGGAAAAATTTTGTAATTTATTAATTTTCGATTTAGAACCAAATAGCATACATTCAGTCTTGCCCAGGTGTAGAGATAATTTATTATCTACTAACCAATCTGAGCATCGTTCCAATACCTTTCCAAGTTTTTGGGCTATAATTTTTGGATCCTTATGCGAAAATAAATATTGTGCTATCATCTGCATATAAAATTAACTTGCAATCAGAATCGATACTTGTTACCATGTCATTAACGTAGCAGAGAAATAGAAGAGGACCCAAAATACTGCACTGACGAACCCACACGTAATAGGAATTGAATCAGAAAAAACTTTACCAATACTTACTTTCTGATACCTTCCTGACAAGTATGATTTAAAACAAGAAATAGATTTGACACCTAATATATCTAATTTATCACACAAAATATAATGATTGACGGTATCAAATGCTTTTTGTAAGTCCATTATAACCATACCAATGAGTAACCCTTTGGAGCTATTTGTACGGATATAGTCAAGTAGGTAAATAAGACATGTGTCAGTTGAATGAGATTCCGAAACCCGGACTGGTGTTCGTAAATTAGATTATTAGTTCTTAGAAATGACTCAAATTGTACATACACGGCCCGTTCTAGAATCTTGGATACAATACATAAAATACTAACTGGTCTGTAATTGTCCCGACATCTAGCTTACTATTCTTTTTGTGTAGAGGTTTTACTTTAGCAATTTTCATATCATCTGGGACAACCCCCTCTGTTATTGAAGAATTCACAATCTAAGTTATAGGGATTTTTAATACATCAGCACCATCTTTTAAGAAATTTTGCAGGGATACCATCTAACCCAGTTGCTTTTGCTTATATTAAGCCTACATAATTCTTTATATACAAACTCCTCACTTACATGATGACGGTGAAACTCTTTTTGTGATATGTTCCTATAAAAATTCTTAATTGTATCGGATGCCACACTATAAAAATTCTTTGCTGCCGGGAGTTTCTGTACTAAATTAGATGCAATATTTGTAAAGAAGTTATTAAAATGACTTGCAACTCTACAAGGATCGTGATAAGTTTCACCATCAATCGACAAAACAATATTCGGACTTTCTTTTTTATTGTTACTGTAACCAAGGGATTTGATATTCTGCCATAGTTTCTTATTGTCGTTCTTATTATCTAATATTTGCCCTTTGAAGTATTCAGATTTTGCCAATTTTATAGATCGTTGTACTTCATTGCGAAGTCCCCAGAAGACGAAATGCTGCATAACCCTTGTGAGACTTCTTGTGGCATACTTCTCTATCATCTGGAATCCTTTTTCAGACACAAATATCTGGAAATTGGAGATTGTGCAGAGACAAGCATCAAAAATGGTCTTCTCAGACAATAGAAGGTCCAGCAGTGTGACGTATCATGCGCTGCAACAATTAAAGTGGTCAACAGTTACTCTTTAAAAGCGCAGAGCCCATGCAAAGGTGACCATGAAGTATAGTATTGTCAATGGGCTTGTTGAAGTCCCTCAATCCAACCTAACTGCCATCAGATCTACAAGAAGCCATGGATTTTACTACCAGGTACCTTATACTAGAACTTCTAAAGTTTAATAATATTTCATTGTATAACATAATACACACAATATACAATTATACAAACATAATGAAGTGTACATACCAAAGGTTTGGGCCAAAAGTTCTAACAGCATTTTTGTGGGCCCTTCCCTGAAGCACGGATTTATATTACAAATTCGTGCCTGAAGTACTAGAACTCTATGCTTCCATGCAGCACTTCTCCTTCCCAGACACCATCCGCCTCTGGTACAGCCTTCCCCAATTAGTAGTCAGCTGTACAACCATCAAAATCATTGTTGATGTAGTAGATTTCTTTTAAAGGGGCGATGAACAATTATTTCATAAATGATTGATGAAAATAGAAAATAAGATTAGGCAGGTTTCACCAATCATATAAATAATTAATATGGGCGAAGTTGACCTGACCTGAGTTTATATTACTAAGGGCCAAGATAAATGGGGTCCAAGTTAGTTTTAATTGTAATTATAAAATGTGTGTAAAAAGACTATAATTTTGCCAAAAATTAGTAAGTCATAAAATTCTGACAATATGCAACAGGGCAGTGACTTTTGTACAACATCTAGCTGAAGTCTTTTGAGAAATGTAGGAGTTGTACACAAAAGATCACATTTTGAAGACTATTTCTCTATACATTCATGAAATATGATCGACCAAAAATGATCAACTTATAAAATCTTGATATAAAATGCACAAGATTCAAGTGGGTTTGTGAAAATTTGGTGGCAATTCATTGCAAAATGTAGGAGTTGCACAATAAATTACTTAAACAAGAGCTGTCGTGCACAGGATATTATCATAAAACCAAAGAAGGATGCAAAACTGATTACCTGCCATAACAGTAAACCAGGATTTCAAGTTCGAGGTCAATACATCTGATGGTTTTTGAGCAAATTAGGAAGATATAAAAAGGGAAATAATTAAACAAAAAATGACATTCAGGGATATCTGCTCATTTAAATTTTGATATTGGACAAGTTCTACCACAAGAAGTACAAGTTTAATTAAAGTAAATATCTTGGATACTTTAGAAATTAAAGTTATCAAGAGGGTTAACCAATGTGCAAAAATCAAAAATAGGGGGCATAATTTAGGTGACTATAATTTAAGAGCAATCTGACAATATGATACAGCTTAAAATTATGTTTTGATAATAACTAATGTATAAAATTTGAAAAGAAAAACTTTGATAGTTTCTGAGAAAATAAAATTTAACCTATTACATGTTCCAGTGACCTATCACATGTTCAAGTGGAAAACTATGATGGACTGTACTTAAAGCCCTGTGGGACTGAATTGCCATAATGTTCATCTTCTGTCTTGCTTCATCAGGCCCTTGTAGGTGATTTTCTTGTTGCTCTGTCTTCCTTTAAGACATTGAGCACTTTTGTTATGGTCATTTAGTTTTCCTTTATATGTTTCTACATGATCATTTCGGTGTTTTACTTATTTCACCTTTTGCGACCATAACAAGTGTTAGAATTTACTTGGCATTTTATTTACATTGTCTCATTTATAGGAACATGGTGTAGCTAAGGTTTGGTGCACCATTAACCAGTTTAAACTCCCAAGCAGTACTTATGCTGCTGACTGTTCCAAGGCGGCGCCCCTCTGTGTTCCTCAGATATATTGTCTTTGTTGTTCATACTGTTTTGGGTGGCATTTTGTTTGTGTCCCTTGTGGTTTTCTTGTCTACGGTAAGTATCTTCCCTTTTGACCTTAGTTTTTTGTTTTTAATTTAAATTTTGCCCCTCTCGTTCCCTGTACTTAAATCCCCTACCCCTGTGCCCTTTTACTTTGTGGGCCTAATAATCAATCAATTGTATTTGATTTCCTTATCGGTTACTATTATTTCCTTTCATGTATTATTAAGTGATTATCCTTTCCGTGCTCTGCCTTGTGCCCTGTCCTGTGCCCTGTCCTGTTTTTGTTTGGGGTTCTCTTGGGCCCCAGTAGCTGCTGGTCCTTGTTGCTGGGTCGTGTGGGGGTTGCGTCCATTGAACGCCATATTCTTTGTTGATCTTGTTTATCATATTTTGTCCTTTGAACTGTATGCAACAGGTAGAACTCATCATGGTGCATCTACATACAAAGTTTGAAGTTCCTAGGTCAATGCACAATGATTTAACGGGTAGTTTTACAATTCCTAGTGACCTTGACATTTGACCTTTTGGTGAGGCAGGAA